ACTTAGATACAGAGATATCACAGAGAAAATAACTTAACTTCAGATGGAGTTCCTCTGGACAGCTGCACACTCAGTTAATCCAAACAGGAAGTGAACCAATTATTAATATCATTAAAATGATAGCAGTACAAAAAATGTATGTATTTTAAAATATGCATTTTTAAATTTTTAATATATATCTTTTCAATATTTTATATTTAAAATTAATCTTAAAATTTTATATTTTTGAATGGCAACGATTTTCATTTATACTGCTATCATTTTAATGATAATAATAATATTTTGTAGAGGTCATCAAAGGTCAGTTAACATCTGTTTTTGCTGCGCAAACGGAGCACAAATGTTTGACACCAATTTTGTCTAATTTGAAGAAAGTGGGGGGGGGGGCTGGTTGACCTTTGATGACCTCTAGAAACATCTCTTTATATCTTTAAAATGATAGCGGCATAAACCAAAATTTTTGCTGCACAAACGTTTGACACTTTTTTCTTTGGAAAAACATCTACATCTTAAGTCCTGGTTATCCTCCTCAGCAGTGTTTCGCAGTGAGCTTGATGCAGATATTTTTGATTTATGCCCAATATTGAAGCGTGGTCTGCGCTGTTATTCCACGCCACACCGCAAGAGAATCATCAACTAGCTGTGGGTCTAGATACGGCCGAGGCGGCGAGGAAGTGGGGGCGAGTTTAGTCCGACGACGGAGGGACATGAGGGCCAAAAAGAGCGGGGATCCAGGTGGAAAAAGGGTCCCAGCGTTCTCACCTCGCTCCTCTAGCTGCTCCATCTTCACCAGTCGTTTTCCACACTGGTCATACAAACAAAACAAGCCGGTAAGGAACCAAACAGGAAATACACATAGTGTAGAGCGGATTGAGATTTGACCAATCAGAGGCCTCCTGTTTGCAGCCATCTACAATTTTGGAAAGGTGCTTTGCGTTCACTGCGACACTGTGATGGAGATCTGCTGAGAAGTTTGTTTAATGTCTCACCATATATTGTTTTTGCTGGATTCATGTCTGGACTTTGACTAGGCCATTCTAACCCATGGATGTTAGTTGATGTAGACCACTCTCCCTCTGAACGTTTACAGTAGCTGTTTCTCTGCTTCCACACACCTGCCTTTATTAAATGGTTAAGTCTCATGAGTAACCATGTTAGTAAGATGATGGTTAGACTGGTGAATATGCTGATGAAGATTCTCAGTCATCCAGGTCATAGCTATTCCAAAAAGGGTAAAACATAATCCACTGGACTTTGTTTCCAAATTTTAAGACATTTCTCTTCCCATCCAGGAAGCTTGTTCATTTCAAAATGTCAGAAATAGCGTTGAGTTTCAGCCTTTATAGAGTGGACTAAAAACAAAGCCTTGTTTTTGTTCAGAAAACATGCAAATTGAAACGGATGAACAGGTCCACCCCTTGGGAATGAGGATTGTTTGCTTTCTTTGTTAGCCTGTACACTGCAAAAACAATCTCAAAATGAGTAATAATGTCTTAAATTATGGGTATTTACCCTTAATTTGAGCATGTAAAAAAGATGATTTGCAAATGGAATGAGTATTTTTACTCTTAAAATAAGGTATCTAGATATTATGCGCTTGAAATAAGAGAATGCAGTTGTTTTTTCTTATTTTAAGTGTACATTGTCTTGTTCCATTGGCAAAGTGCCTCACTTAAATCCTTAATTCAAGAAAAAATGCACCTATTTAAAGCTACAGTGTGTAACTTTTAGCGACATCTAGCGGTCAGACTGCAGACTGCAGCAACATGAACATCTCCCCCCCCTCCACTTCTCCCCCCCAACAGTATGGCGAGCGTTACGGGACAAAATGTCTTCCACGACGTCCGCATCTCCTACCTTCTCAAGTGATGAGGTTTGTTTACATAGATAATTTTACAGATAGTATTTCATTAGTCTGTGTAGGGTATAGATTTAATGTAGACTTAAGATAATAAATATACCCGTTATTTTTTCTACATCGTTGTGACGTTTTGGCGATCTCGCAATCGCTAGTTTGTTGGCTCTGCGCTGCCGTAGCGCAAAGTTGTCTGCCTCCATGGCTGCGAGACCCGCTCCTATGTAATTATAAATAACGAATTCTAAGGCAACGCAAATATTAAGGTTAAGAGGCTGAGCTCGTAGATGATGATAAATAACATAGTTATGTATAATATATTACATTTCTGACTGTATATCCCTGTAATTATTACACACTGTAGCTTTAAAGAGGTGTTCTGGTCCCCTGTAAAGAGGCGGTGGTTGCGATGATAGCGGGAAAAGATCAACTCAATTATGGAATTGTAGGTTTTTTAAAGCTGAAATCTGAGCTGAAAACTGATGGGGTGGATTTCAGCTTTCTAATTATTTGGTTCTTTTTGAAGGAGTGCAATTATATACATCTTTATATGTGGTCAAAAATCAATTTGGCTTTGGCTTTTGAGAACTTCATACGGAATCCAGTCCCTTTCCTTGGACCACTAACACAAACATGGGTAATAAAAAAGTTAGTATAGCTGCTCCCAACTTTTTCTAACTGGTTGATGCAAGTGCAATTATCCAACTGATGGTTCCAAACGTTTATTACAGGATTTTCCGTCATACAAACGCCCAAGACCACCGTGAACACGGCAAAATACACGGTGGAAAATATTCATCAGTGAATCCGTCATGTTCCCTTATATGAATTATCAACTGAAACTTATTAAATAAAACATAAATTCTCTCAATTGTCCATACCGTATGCCCCTCCAACCAGAGGGTTAGGAGTTGCTAGAAGTCCTTACACGTCCATTTCTTCTATATTTCAGTCCTTTGCCTTTACTCTTGCACGCGCCGACTGAGTATAAAACAAAACTCAGAATTTTACATCCCATTGATAACCTAATTGGTGACGTCTCCATCTGACATTATTACAATATTTCCCCAAAGTATGTACATATTATTAAAAAAAATACACAAATATGAACTGGATATTAAAAGTAAAACATTCATATTCACACAGAAAAATGCTTATGTAACTGCGTTCGCTACAGTTAGTTGTGTAAAAACTTAGTATAAAAGAAATAAAGATAACACCATGAGGTATTTTTGTGTGTGCATACAGTCACCATTTATTTTCACATTTTAAAAACTCCAGTTGACAGCTAAAATAGTCAGCAATTTAGTTCACATCAGAAATTAACAAAGTCGTGGATAAAATGAAAGTTTATTTCAGAAGTCTGATAAATCAGGTTTATCTTTAATTTCCATAAATTGGACCTCAAAGCTTGAATCTGTTGAACATCTGGGTCAGAACACCAGACAGAATCCTCCACCTTTCCTTTCAGTTGAGGAATTTTTTTTATATATATATATATATATATATATATATATATATATATATATATATATATATATATATATATATATATATATATATATATATATAAGAATTGACCCCTTATTGACTGTTGCGGCACAGAAATTACAGGTGCCATCTTGGGGAGGTCGACCTGCTTCCCTAACCTGCTGGTTTAAGAAAAGCAGAAGAAGGATGCTTCAGCGCTGTGCAGCATATTTTTTGCTGGAATCGACGGACTGTTGACATCAGTGCTTAAGGGATAACTTTGTAAAGGCACCAGAGCTTCGGAAAACATTGCTGAATAAACAGAATATATACTAAACACACACACACATATATATATAGAGGGAGAGAGAGAGGATGGATGTAGAAAGTGAGAGACATGCGTAAACAAATTTGTGTACCTCTGTATAAATGTGCTTGTAATAAAAAAATATAAAAATGTATCAGTGGCTGTGCTTTGCAACACACATACATCCTATCAGAATATTCTATTACTCTTATCCCCACTAAGAATGTTTAAATGTACTGAATAACTGCTCCAAAAAAAACAAAACCTGAAAATTAATTCAATGTTTAGTTAAAGTTTATCAAAATAGCTTCTGAGTCTGCCTACTACATTACACTGAGCGGAGATGGTGCCACCAAATCACATCAGCGGGGCCCATAGGCGAAAGCAGTGGATGCAGGGTCAACTCTTAAATGTATGTCTATAGAGCAGGGGTGTATTTAGGAAATTTGGGGCCCTAGGCAGGGGGCCCTCTGAATTGAGAAGACAACACATCAAACAGACCCATTATACAGATAGATAAATGTTAATAAAATAGACATACATTTATTTTCTTCTTGTTTTCCTCTCTAGCTGACTTTTCATGCTGTCTCTAAAGGAATGAAAGATTTTTTCCAAGCACTAAGCTCACTTAGCTGATTGCTCCTTCCTGTGTTTCCAAAAAGGCCAAAGTAAATAACCCAGTCCTTCTTTTCACTGTAGACAAGCCATGATCTGCTTATCTGTTCTCCATTTTTCATTTGGATGAAATAATAGCTGCATGAATCATGACAGCAGACAAGATAGAGGAGAGCAGGAGGCGGGGTTACCAATCTACTTGCTCTGGAGAGCAGAGTTCGCTGCTTTTAGATGTTGTCTCCAAAGTCTCCAGTAGCAGAAAAAAGTCTCTAGATTTGGCGCTAGGAGCTTTTTAGAAATGAAAGTGCTAGAGGGGTCTGAAAAGTGGCTAAATATAGCGACTAAAGCGCTAAGTTGGCAACACTGCTCTTTGCATGGTTTGTTTTCAAATGGTTTGCTGCTGTCTGTTTGGACCTTTCTGAACATGTGCAGCAAATGGACTGATCCAATATGGTGGACACTGAAGGGGGGGGCTGAGACACACTTAATATTATCAGCGTTCTGATGGCATTTTAGCCAAAGGATTTTTATCAAAAACAGAATTAATGTGCACAAATAAGGATTTATAGCTTTATGCCCCCCCTCCCCGCTATGGAGGGAATGATGAAACTAAAATGAGAGGATCAGGAAGTCATGGATTCCAAATTAAAAGTCTCTTCATATGTTTTTTGATCTACTGATTGATGAGGATGCTGTTTTTTCCTCATCTCTAGACACCTTCCTGCTGCAGCTCCTCCATTCCAACAGTGACAGTTAAATACCCAACCCTGTATCCATGACAACCGTAACCCGTTCTATCAGTGTGACGTTAGCTACTCAGCAGCCCTGGACAAATGGAGAATTCACAGCGACCATCTGAGCCCGTCAGCTATGTTAATCAAGATGAATTCTGGTAAATTGTTCAATGGATTTTGAAGATTATTTTCATTTGAGTTTATTTCTGTCATGTTTTATAAAAAGCTTCTATTTGATTATTTGTCCTTAAATAAAAGCAGGTTAGTTTCAGTTGAAAAAAAAAAGAAACAGGCTGAACTTTTTGTCCTTTCAAACCTTTCCTCAGATTTTCGAGTGCTAAGTTTTAAATGTTTGATGATTGCTTGTATTTTTTGTATTTCTTTAGGAAACAATGCGTTAAAAAAGAATGGATATGTCATGATTCCTGGCCCAAGAAGTGGGGCTTCATGACTGAATCCTACAAGGAGGTAGGTTATATCTCCATATCTCATCTCCATATATGTTCTTTCTTCATCTTTGGATAAATTTGGCCGCAGAGCCAGAGGCTCGTATGAACTGGTTCTGCTCTTTGTTTCAGTATCAGATGAAAAGTATGAAGCTGAAGGAGGCACTCAACACGGAGCTCTCCCCTGATCAGACCGCTCGACCTCTGACCCCTCCACCCGTTCATGTATGATTCTTCCACCCGTCTACATCTCTATCTGCTCATCTACCTGTTCTTCATCTATTTTGCATTCCTCCAGGTCGGACCTTCCTCTGCTGTCCCTGCGACCACTCAGGGTTTTATTGGATGGCGTTCACACATTCCCATAGACAAGTACAACACCAAGCATTATCGACGGAAGGGGTTTGGTGGGCCGCTAGATGGCTGTAATGAGTGGACCTCATCACAGTAGTCAGATCTAATCACTAAGTCTGTATTACTGTTGAAACATTGATCAGAACACAGGATTCGAAGCAGAGTTTGTTTGTGCAACTTTTCAAACAAATCATTAAAACTTTCCAACATCTTTTTAGTCTCTGATTAAGTTTTGTAGATTTTTTTTTTACCTTTAATCTCTATATTCTTTATTAGACATACAGCATCCATCAACCAGTTTCTCCCTTGTTTATCTAAAACACCATTTAATACATTTAAGTGGTTATATTTCACTGTTAATTTGTGATTAATTGACTTTTAATTATATTTATTTTTGCAGGATGCTGTTTGTAGCAGAACTGTTTACTAAATACTGGAGGATGATTGTGCAGCACAATTTAAAATTTGACTTTAAAAAAACGTGCTTTTGAACTTAGACTTTAGACTTTAACTTAGACAATCTTTATTGTCATTTTTTATACCCATAGTGTATACAAAGCTGAATTTTGTTTAGTGCAGCTTTCCAACCAGTAAATTAACATTTCCATTCCATAAAGGGCAGCAGTGATCAAATGTAAATAGTATGGGTTACTGTCACTAGATATTGTCTATTGTATTATGATACAGCTTGCCATACTAAGGCTAATATTCCTAAATAGATGAAAAACATTGCCTAATTTGAATTGCCTTTTAAATAAAAACAAATTTAAATTGTTGCTTTATCAAATCAATACATCTTCTTCCACTTATCCACATGGTGGGCAGGTGCCTCTCTACCACAGGTGAAAGGCAACACAGAGACACACAAACCTTTCTCTCTATCTTTGCAGGGCCTTTTCATTGACTAATGCATTTGCACATGTTAAGTGTGACCCTTAACCTAACCATCACAGATTCATACCTTTGTAAACAACCATTCCCTCATGGGGTCCAGGCATTGGCTCCACAAGTGACAGTTGTTCCCCAGAAAGTGCCATTTCTCTAGAAAATGGGCCTCACAATGTATCAAATACACACACAACCATTTAGATTAATTACAGGCAGAAGGATTAAAGTTTGTCCTGATCCTTGTGCTTCCTTGCTGAATCAAGAGTCTTTTTTTCATTATCTCACCATAGTTATTTTTTTCCGCTTAAAAATGTTCGGTAGTAATATTTATTTATTCCCCAATAGTATAGCATAAGTTGTTTATCCCCTATTTGTGTATTTTCAGAAAGTGCTCTGTAATGTAATGGAATGCACATCTCTTCAGTAAACTTTTAAAAACTATATATATATATATATATATATATATATATATATATATATATATATATATATATATATATATATATATATATATATATATATATATGGAGAGACAGAGAGAGAAAGCAGTGGGAATTCCTGCCGAGCACGGCTCGCGTAGCGCCATTTTAAAAGTGTAAAGCTTGGAGGAGGTAGATGCGAGAGGACGAGAGCCCTTTGGCATGTGGATGGTCGTTTGGTGCATGGCGCGTGTTTTGAAGCTGCTTATGGAGAAATGTCTTGGGCCGTGAGTAGTGAGGAAACAGGAAGCGATTCTTGTGGGATGGAAGAGGGAAATAGTGACAATGAAGGTTGGAAGATAGCAACATCAAAAAATGAGAAAAAGCGGAAAAAACAGAGATCAGTTCAAGGGGAATCTAGTTCAGAACAATCCAGTGATGATCATTCCATACATTCCACAGCACAACAAAATGAATTCAAAGTCATATTCAAAGTCGTTAATCAGGCAGACTCTTTTACAAATTGGAATCCGGTTCACTTAACAAAAACCATCAATAAACTTGTCGGAGAAGTCAGAGGTGCCAGAATTCTGTACAGTGGAGACCTGCTAATTAACTGCAGAGACAGCGCCCAGCAAGGCAAAGCAATACGGATCAACAAAATTGACGGGATAAGAGTTCAGTGCAGCCTAATGGAGAACAAAAAGATCAGCAGGGGAGTCATTGGAGGAGTTCCTCTAAAAATTTCTGAAAAAGAGATTCTGGAAAACATAAGCGGTGCAAAAGTAAAAGAAGTAAAACGGTTAAAAACAACAAGAAACGGAGAAAGATCTGACAGTTTATCAGTGCTAATTAAATTTGAGGAAGAGCAATTACCAAGCAAAGTATTCATCGGTTACATAAGCTATAATGTCAAAATCTACAATCCTCCACCATTGAGATGTTTCAAATGCCAAAAATTCGGTCACATTGCAGCAGTTTGTAAAGGGAAACAGAGGTGTGGAAGGTGTGCAGGAGAACATGAGTACGGAAAATGTGGAAAAGAAGCTAAAATAAAATGCTGTAATTGTGGTGGAGAACATACTGCTGCCTATCGCGGCTGTGAAGCAAGCAAAAGGTCTGAGGAAATTAAAAAAATGAAATTTGAGCTCGGAATAACCTACGCTGAAGCTGCAAAAAGGATCCCATCTCAGTCAGAAAAACCCAAACCTACAGTTCAACACACGGCAAATTCCAAACCTCTAGAGAATCAAAAAATTGATGAAGACTCACTTATTGTTAAAAAGACAAATTTTGTTCTTTTCATGGTAGAAGTAATTAATTGTACTGCACAGACAACAAAAAAAACGGAAAAAATCAAAATAATAGTGAAGGCTGCAGAAAAATATCTGGACATTAAAGATTTGAACTGGGAGATGGTTGGAAGTATGATGGGAGGACCGATGGGACCATCAGAAACTGGCAGAGTTAAGATGACCTAGAGTAAATTAAAAATTATATGGGCAAATGTGATTTAGTATTATGTTGGTTTAAGTTACACAGGTTTTTTTTTTTTTTTTTTTTTTTTTTTTTTTTTTGGGGGGGGGGGGGGGGGGGGTGAATCGTTTTCTGTTTTCTTGCTTTACTCCATATCAGTTGGTGGCGGTAATGCACAATTCACAAGTCTGCCAACCGCCATAAAACCCCATAAGAAGAAGAAGAGAAAGCAGTGGGAATCCCCCCCTCTGTGACCGTGATCATGCACGCATGAGTCACCGCGCTTACGTAATGACATCACGAGGCCTGTGTGGAGAAAGCGGAAGAAGAAGACGAAAACATCAGCAGCGGCACTGAGGCGACTGGACGTTTCACAGAGCTCCCTTCATCAGCGGTTCTCCTTTGGTTGGTTTGTGTTTAAAGCTGCAAGTAACTTTAGAACCGAGTCACACCAAAATGTCGCTGTTCGGTAAGATATTCGGTAGCAATAGTAAGGGAGGGAAGGGACCGACTCCCCAAGAGGCTGTCCAGAAACTCAGGGACACGGAGGAGATGTTGGCCAAAAAACAAGAGTTTTTAGAGAAGAAGATCGAACATGAGCTCCTGACGGCGAAGAAGAACGGAACCAAAAACAAACGAGGTGAGTAAAACCTCCCCGACTGTTCGGCTTCAGCTGATAAACGGCCTGCCTGCTAGTTAGTCGGTAGCTGGGTTAGTTAGCCCGCTGGCTAACCTCCAGGGAAGTGACTCACCTCATGGGACTTCACCTTTAATTGCCTTGTTTGGAGCAAGAACGTTTTTTGTTTATTAACAAACCTCTTTGGTTGTTAATATAGTTTAACCCCTTCAGCCCAGAAAGCAAATGAGAATAAAAGCAAGTTCAGCTCTTAAACTATAAATTGGGGAAAAAAAGTTATTTGTATAACAGAAAGACATTGAGGAATATTTTTCAGGTGGAACCACTATTTTACATATAACCGGTCTGATTTATAGATGATCAAAACCCCATGAAAGCCCATTTGAAACTCTGGTTGAACCCTCAGACTTTATAGATCCACATTTTGACTATAAATTAAGCTAATTTGGACTGAATAAGTTGATGCATGTTTGTTCCACAAAGGTTTCAGTGGGCAGAGTGCTAGGAGGAAATGGGATTTTTACACAGTGCCAAAAGTGGCCAAATTAAGCAGAAATGCATTTTTTCTACTCAAAAAGGAATCTGGTCAGGCAAATATGCTGATTTAGATTATTGGAGACCATCTACATCAGGCAAAGCATTTGCTCCTAAGATTTAGCTGCTATTTTATTGACATTTACCAATAATATCACCAAAATGTATAGAAAATAAGAATAACAGAGCAAGCTAATGTAATGCATATTAATAAACTGAAATGGTCACACAATGACCTCTGACCCCTTCTTGTAAAGGTCTGAGCCTCTAGTTTCCAATGATGGTGGCAATTAGGGGGCGGGTCTAAAATTAATAACTGCTGTTGCATTCGCACTTTTCAGGTGGAATTTAAATCTCATTTTATTCACTTATGCAGCCACAAAACAAAAAATATTTGTGGAAAAAAAAAATTCCAAATTTTTTTTAGAAAACTTAAAGCCCCATTTGAAAGGTGTGTGGATGAAACACCATGTGACTGTGTTATGGCCATCTCTATAAATGGATAAACATCAGCTGGTGTTAGATGGTAACGAACCCGTCAGGTTTAAGGGGTTAAAACAAATAAATGAGCAGGAGGTATTAAAACATGACTTACAGTGGGGTAACCAACCTGTAAACATAACACCCAGCCCTCAACTGTTCATAGTAATTCATTTCCTAGAATTGTCATATTTGGTTTCTAACTTAGAAAATATGTTTCAGAAATGAGTTGTATTTTTGTACCTGTGTACCACGGGTATGTTGTCATATCTAATACTTTAATTAAATCAGGTTGCTTTTAGAAGTTGGTTTATTCCTGAAACCATTGCTGCTAATAAGTCATTAAATCTATACTGGAATAACAAACCCTGAGGATTATCATCTCTGGTTTTTAGCAGCTAATATAAATTATAGTAAAACTATTTTTTGTGGAGTACGGAGGAGGATTAGGGCCAGTGGGGAAAAAAAAGTTAACAGATTTTTTACATTTTATTTCAGTTTATTATTTATTTCAGTTTAGAATTCTGAGAAAAAAGTAAGAATTCTGACTTTTTTCTCAGAATTCTGACAATAAAAAAAGTCAGAATTTTGAGAAAAAAGTCAGAATTTGGAGAAAAAAGTCAGAATTCGGAGATTAAAGACATTAAAGTCAGAATTCTGACTTTTTTCCCATGTTAAACTGAAATAAAATTTAAAAATCAGTTAACTTTTTTTTGTTTTTCAGTGGCCCTAATCCTTTTCCGTAGTGGAGCATTTATTTCCAAACATGAATTTTTTTGGCCGTTTCCTCAACCCCTCCTCCTGGCTGTTGATAAAGTAAAAGCGTGGAAGGGATGATGAACATACCAAACCTGTTCTCATCATATCGGACATGGTAATCCAGAACCGTGCCTTGTCTGCCTCCACCACACACAGAAACCTGTTTGATTGAAGGTATCTATTTTAGTCCAATGAGGGTAAAGAGAAAACCAGAGGACTGCGGCGCAACAGGAAGTTATGGAAACTGTCAGGTCCGTGGTCATTGATCAGACACGTCCAACGATTTCTTTTCCCTTTTTTTGTCACCTTTGCTTCAAAGATAAATTTAATGGTTCCCAGATCGGTTCGATTTTCTCCCTCATCACGGTGACATAAAGGCAGACAGCCAACTGAATAAGTCATTTCTTGTCGATTTTCTTTCCAGGCTGCCGGAAACTTAAACCTTCTGTCTGATGGGAGCAGCGGGAATATAAAGGCTATCTATAAACTATATCAGTATATCCACTGAAAGCAGGTTGTAAAGATAAAAATATGCTTTTTGAAAGGAACAGGAACATCAGAGAACCATAAAGTAACCCCATGAGAGCTGATTGGCTGTTTCTCTGAGCTGCATAATCTGATAACGATTCATGTGACGTCAGATAATGTTGTTTTAGGAGAAGGAGCTGGGTCTGGATGCATGAATAATCCGATCAGACTGGAACTGCGAGCTGCCATCTGGCTCCCAGTGGAACACAGTGACCATAGTGTGGAGCTCTGTGTTGTGTGAATTAGACATTAAACCAAACTTTGCTGGATTGTGAGTAGGAATGGCACATAATAAAACTCCTGCAGCTTGTGTCATGAAACTAATGTGTGTTGTTAAGAAGGTCGGTATCCATTCAAACTCTAAGGCTGGACTTTATCTATACCCCGACTTATGTAAGTTTTTAATAGTTATATGGGGCGACAGTGGCGTCGGATGTAGGAGTTTGCCCTGAAATCGAAGGATTGACGGTTCAAGCCCCAGTTCCGACTTTCATTGTCGTTGTGACCTTGAGCAAGACACTTCACCTGCATTGTCTACTGATGGTGGTCAGAGGGCCAGAGGGTTCATATTCCTGATCAGAAAAAATCTGATCAGGAATATGAACGTCTTATCAAGTTTGTTGGGAGCAGTGATGGTTAAAAGGTTTTACATCTGCTGGAAGGAAGGATCTGTGGTGGCGCTGTTCTACACTAGCGCTGTGCAAGTCAATACTATAGCAATATAATCACAATTTATAAAGAAAAGCACATTTTGGTCAAATACCATGTCACCAGATATAGCTTATAGATCAAGCTGAAGCTAATGGGGATCCAAATGGAGACTTTCTCAATCCAGCCATGTAGGTGGCAGTAAAACGCTTAACCTCTCCAAACCCACCGGGTCGCCTGCGACCCGTTTTAAAGCGTTTACAACTAATAAACCAGACGACATGAAAATTAATACGGTCAAAATTTTTACCAATATAGACATGTTAGACATCGTTGGAAAGCTTAGATTCTCCACAATTTAACCACCAAGTTCATTTTATGGACACAGCGAGCACCAAAACACAATTAAAACAGATATAGCCGCATGCCAAAACGTAAATATGACAAAGCAGCCACAAAAACATCCCTTTGAAGGCGTCCAGAAGCTGTTTTGTAAATCCAATCTTCAATTGTTTATACTCCATTTGTCCGTAAGGGTCCAAAGGTTAAAAGTAATCCAGCAAATTCATGATAAAAATATTCCATGATGAGAAAATCGCCCATAACATCCGTTTATTGACATCCAAAAAGTTAGCTGGTCGTAGCTAATGCTTAGCATCTTGCTAATATTTACTTCATAATAATTGTTTCCTCGATGTTTGGTGTGTTTCTTAACATCGTCTTCTTACCAACAAGACAAAAGTTTCCGTATCTTTGTATGACACGGTTGGAGTTCGGGTCAGCCACTGAAGCGCTCCTTGACTGTCGGCCAATGATGCACCAAGTAGAGCGATATTACGCCTCATACAGTCCTGCTGTGATTGGTTAGGCCCCACAGCTCTGGAACTGTTGTAGCTAGAGGTCTGACATTTTCTGCATTTATATTTCTTTATTACTGATGTTAAAAAAGACCTATTATTTTCAAGAATAAAAAAAAACAATAACTTTGAGTCATGTTTGAACTGATGCAGCTTGGGCTGTGTTCTACTCACCCAAAAAAGAAGGTGTCAGCTTTCAGATAATGTATTGCACGTTTAATTTGGGCTTAAAGTTCCTAAGTTATTTGCTTTTCCATTTGGGTAGGCAGAATAGGCAAGGATTACTTCAAAATGAGTGGATTGTTGGGTAGAGTGGAGGATTTTCATGAATTTTTAAGAAGCCCCGCACATGCACAACCCTGCACCCACTCCCGAGAGGGAATGCTTATAAAACACATGTGAGAGCGTGCACCAGTCCAATTCTCCCCGTGCACGCTCTGTTTGAAGGTTGCTGTTTGCATCGCTCACACAAGCTTACTTCCTAAAGGAAGATTTGCGATTTTTCCACTATGTCAGACTCCACCGGTGTTGTGCTGAGAAAAACCTGCCTGCCGAGAATTTCCTCCCCTGGCACAGGAGCATGCATCGCCTTAAACACACCCACATTTATGAGAAAATAGATTGAAATATCAATTGAAAGGGAAAATTTAAACATATTAATGTTTTGTCAGAAATTTTATAGAACGTTGTTGGATGAAAAAGCGGAAAATGTTATCCACTGAGCAGAGAATATATTTATTGGACACTGATTGTAGCACGTCCACTAAAATGTTTCTCCATACAGGTAAAAATAGTTTTCATTCAGACACAGTTTTAGCGCATCCAGGCATAAGGAATATAAGAACTTAAAGTATATATTTAAAAGTTACCTTTTCATTCATATTTCAACCCATTACCTCATCGGGGTGCGAGAGGGACGGTCATTCTTAGAATAGGGTTAGGTGAAAATCTAAGGACAGAACATCAGTAAACAACCACAGAGTTAAATATGGCCCCCCTGCTCTGATTCCACCTGTGAACAACAGTGATTTTACTGCAGTCCATTTGGTTAGTCAGGTAAACAGAATAACGACTGTCTGGATGTTCACCAGTATCACTATGGTGGCTCAGCGCCTCACTGGTCCTCCACCAGTTCATTAGTTTACAAAAAAAACCTGCTTCAGATTCAAACCATTTGGTCAGTTACATGTTTTTCTTCAGGTTTCAGTTAAACTGTGAGATTCAAAAACAGGCAGAAAAATATGGAAGCAAATTGTTACCATATTCCAAATGAAAAAGCATTTCCAGAAATGCCTTTTCATTTTAAGAATTTGGCTGCATTGTTTAAATGAAATTAGTAATCAATCATCCTGTTTGCATTTTCATTTTCTTCTTTAACACTGCTCATCCTTTTACTTAATTAAAAAGAAAAAGACATTTGAGATTTATTTTTCAAAATGTACCCCAGCAAATACATACCAAAATTCAATTTGAAATGTAAAATTTGAAAATGATAAAGCATTTCCAGAAATGCGTCTTTATTTTAAGAATGTGGCTGCATTATTTGACTCATAAATGAAATGAGTAATCAATCATCCTATTTGCATTTGCGTTTTCTTCTTTAACACTGAACATTTTATGCCATAATCAAAGAGAAAACACAGCGGACTTTGCTTTTTTGTTTCCGTGGTCTGCCAGCAAAGTACTGTAAATAACTCGAAAACGAAAAAACCTTCTGAGTCAAACAATGCAGCCACGTTCTTAAAATGAAAAAGCATTTCTAAAATGCTTTTTCATTTGAAATATGGTAAAGATTCGCTTCCATAGAAAAAAGTGAGCAGATATAAGAAGAGACAAATGGGCCAGGATGGATGGATGCCCGAGCAACCTCAGTGTTTTGAATCTGTTCTTTAAATAAAGTTATAGAAATATATTTAAATTCCAGTATTCTGCTTGTTTAGGCCTTTCAAAGTGACCTATATCCTCATCAGGGCTCCCTCCGTTTCATGACGTCGTCATAATTAACCTCTCCTGAACAAAGCCTGAGACTGAAGGTCAAAAAGCAGATTTTCATGATATTACCTATAAAGAGAGGTTGCTGTCATTGCTAAAGGAACAGTTCCTATAATCTTAAATCTGTTTAAATTAGACAGAATATGTGAAAAATGTGCCTAATTGTGATAAACAAGCAGCTTTTAGGTAGATTTAAAAAAACTTGAAACATTTTTTGTTGCTTGTGTCAGTTTAATATCAGTGGTGTTGTGATCTTCTAACCTACAGTAACCTGTATTGTTGTCAGCTTTTGGAAAAAAATCCTGAATTTTACTATGATGCAAATATTTTATCTTTAGTATTTTCATTCCTGCTGGTCGTTGGCCGGCTGGGATCAGACGCATGTTTAACTCTGTGTATTCCTGCAGAATATTCACCAATGATCGCATTGTAATAAGTTTAAATGTTCTGATTCATTTACTGATTAAAAAAGAAAGATCAAATCTAATTAAACACGCTGTTTCTGCAGGGTTAAATGAAACCCAAAGATTGGACGGTAGATAAAGCTAACAGAGTTTGACTTGCTAGTATATTTTCTTTAATTTTTCAAATCTGCATGGCTATGCTTGGGCAGCAGGGGCAGCATCTTTATAAAGGAGGGCGGGATGCGCGCTGCAAAAAAATTATAACTGCCACTGACCATCTATGAGCGTGATGCGCATTCTTCCTGTCGCTTGGTTACGGCTGTAAACAGTTTGTCTCTGTGGCGCTGGGTTACGGGCGGTATGAAAGTACAGCTGTGGAACGGTCTGATAAACTGACAGATCTTTTTGTTGTTGTGGTTTTCTCTCTCTCTCTCTGTGTCTATATAAGACTGTGGTGAGCCCAAACAGGACTGTGGCTGGCCATTAATGATGTCATTAATGGGAAACCATGATTTTACCATAAATGGATCTATAGAGATGTTGTTTTGCTCCACCTTATTCCAAAAAAGGTTAAAAATCAATCCACTGTACTTTGTGTTCAAGTTTGAATACGTTTTGCTTCCCATCCACAAAGCTTTTTCTATTAAAAATGTCAGAAATAGCATTGAGTTCAATTCAGTTCAGTTTATTTCTATAGCTCCAATTCACATCATGTCATCTCAGGTCACTTTCCAGTTCACCAGATCATCCAGTCAGATTGATTCAAAGTTTTCTATCTAAGGAAAACCAGCTGATTGCATCGACTCATTGACTCTTCAGCAATCCCTCACACTAAGCATGCTTCTAGCGACAGTGGAGAGGAAAAACTCCCTTTGAACAGGAAGAAACCTGGGGTTCAAGGAGACAGAAACAGAGATACAGAAATAATTAAAAATACAAAGGTTCCAGGTTTTATCCAGCAGCCCAACAAAGCCTGGTTTTTGTTTGAAAACATGCAAATAGAAACAGATGAACGGGTCCACCCCTTTGGAATGGGGGTCGTTTGGCTTCTTTGTCATCCTGCAATGCCCCATACCTGTCTGTCTCTGAAAGGGGGGTCGTTAGAGGTAATTGTTGGCCTGGCTGAAGAGGTGAGGTATTCTGTTCCCGTGTAAAGGGGTTGGGGTTGCGATGATAGTGGGAAGGGATTAACCCCTACCTCTTCACAGGTTCGTCTGTTTGAATTTGCATGTTTTTGAAATAAAAACAAGGCTTTCACTGCAAAAATTCTAAATCTAGATAAGTCATTTTTTTCTGAAAATAAGTGCATTTGTTCTTGAATTGAGGGGGTAAAAAAGATGTTTTGCAAATGGAACAAGACAATTTACACTTGGAACAAGACAATTTACACTTGAAATAAGACAATGCAATTGTGTTTTCTTATTTTAAGTGCATATTGTCCAATTATTTTAAGAGTAAAAATACTAATTCCATTGGCAAACAATCTCATTTACCTGCTCAAATTAAGGGTGAATACACTTAATTTAAGAAATATTGACTTATTTTATGTCGTTTTTGCAATGTTGATGGGCTGCTGTATAAAGCCTGGAGCTCAACACTATTTCTGACATTTTGAATTGAAAAACTTCCTGCATGGGAAGAGAAACGTCTTCAAACTTAAGGTCCAGTGGATTGTTTTTTAACTGTTGTGGAATGACTATGACCTGGATGACTGCTCAACCTCATCTAAGCTGTTCTTTGACTCCCCATTCCAGCGGCCCTCCAGGCCCTGAAGAGGAAAAAGCGCTATGAGAAGCAGCTGGCCCAGATTGACGGGACGCTGTCCACCATCGAGTTCCAGAGGGAGGCTTTGGAGAACGCAAACACCAACACTGAAGTGCTGAAAAACATGGGCTTTGCTGCCAAAGCCATGAAGGCCGCTCACGAAAACATGTGAGTCGCGTTTCAGATTAATCCGTTTTCTTTCTATTTCTCAATTAATGCCCGTTAACCGTTTCTTTTATTCCGTTTCTTTTCCGGCATCCTCGTTGCCTTCCACGCCACCTCCTTCCCATCTCGTCTCCCTGCAAACAGGGACATAGACAAAGTAGACGACCTGATGGCTGAAATCACGGAGCAGCAGGAGGTGTCCCAGGAAATTGCAGACGCCATCTCCAGACCGGTCGGCTTTGGGGAGGAGTTTGACGAGGTAAGATCCCATCAGACCCCAAACACATCAGCTAAAAGGCAGCTGTTGCATTCAGATTGTATTTTAATCAGATGGAAGATTCCCTTCCTCTTCTTTATCTTCAGGCTAAAACCTGAAGTTGGTAACTGTGGATATAACTGGTAGATGACAGCGTTTGTTTCTGTATCTCTGCTCAGGATGAGCTCATTGCTGAGCTGGAGGAGCTGGAGCAGGAAGAGTTGGACAAAAACCTTTTGGAAATCGAAGGAACGGAAGACGTTCCCCTGCCGAGCGTACCATCTACGTCGCTCCCAACTAAACCAGGTAGGAGGACGCGCGTCGATGGGGCTTCTTTTCTCAGCTCCATTACTGTTCTGCTGGATTCAAAGAGAAAATAACATTTTTATTCCTGTTTTCTTTAGCCAAGAAGAAGGTAGAAGAAGACGAGGACGACATGGCGGACCTGGAGGCCTGGGCGGCTAACTGAGCCGGGTCCTCCTGCTTCTCGCCAGCAGCCCGCCCCCTGCTGTCAGAGCAGCAGAGACTCAGGGCTGCACTGCTGGCTGCTCCATCCTAAAGCCTCCATCCGGACGTCTACCACAGCACCTCTAGTTTGCACATGGATGAAAAAACTGGAACGAGAAGAGCTCAGGCTTCGCTCTACAGATTAAAGTTGCAGGATGAGTCTCTTTGCCAAACTCTGCTCCTTTTTCTAGGAGGTCAAAGAGTGAAAGAAATGCCCCCCCCCTTTTTACAAAAACAGCCTGTGGCTCCTCTGCGTTTCCGTATAGGATTGAGTGTTTGCGTGCATACTGCGAGGGTACGGTGTGAGGAGGTACATGATGAGGCCTGCCTCTGGAGGAATGTGAAGAACCAACCTCTGCACACAAAAAGAAACGCGTTACACGGCGCCCATTCACTCTGCTTCCTGTCACTATCTGTTCACTCCTCTAGAAGTTTGTATTGGATTGAAACATCTGGAAACTCTGGGTTTATTTTTCCTCTCATCTGCCTCTGTTAAAACATTCGTTTTAACACCTCTAGATCTGTTTTATCGGCTTAATAAAATCTGGATTATTTTTCTTTTGAATAAAAATGTGAGAAACGTTCTTTTTAAAGCTTTCAAATTTCAGCGCACATGTGTAGCGGACGCTTAGATTACCTTCCATTTCAGCAAAATTCTAGTTAATATTAATTCCCTTTGCTGGAATTGTAAAATGCTTTGCGTATGAATGAAGTTGATCCAATTAGACGAGAAAGAACAACCTCTGAGATTCAGTCAGTTGTACAGGAAGAACAAGCTCCAACTTGCAAATCTGAAATCAGGATGGTTTAGAGATGGGAGGTTCCTCCTTTTCTCAGTCTTATATAAATAATTTCTCTAAATGTCTGAAATGCATGAAAGATTTATAGGAATGAATAAAGGATAAGGTGTTTTTATTCAGGAGAAAGGATCCATATTAAGACCTTCAGTTCATTAAAACCAAACTTCACTATAAGATTTTTTTTTCTGATTGTTTAGAAATAAAATCACGCATTAAAGCTCTTTTAATAATCTGATCGACTTGTTCCAGCATTGCAGCCTTTGGGGGAGATGAACCTGTGCCTGACACCTCCTGCGCCTTTGCCTGTCTTGTTTACTGATGACTCCGTGTGATTAAAATCATAAGTTATGTTTGAGATGTGTGATTTATTTTATTTTTTTTAATGAGTTTGCCTCCATTCTTGAACGGACTGATGGGAACCGGCTGGTTCTCAGTTGATCTTTCTGCTGAAATCCTGATGCAATGGAGCTCCTGCTCACTGCCTGGCCCTTCATGGCTGCTGCCACGCTCCCCTGTTTGTCTGCAGGACAGCTTTAATAAGAAACTGTAGGCTATAACCCTTTCTTTTTTAGTTGTACATAAAAAAAATAAAAATGCTGGGATTTCTGTATCTGTTTACCTCGGATATTCATGTTCTTCCTGACTGTAAACGATCTTTCTGGATATTTTGCTCGGAGCAGTTTCCGTTTCACTGTTACCGATGGGTTGTACAGTAAAGGTTACCTAAATAAAGTTTGGATTCAATGTATTTTAAGAATTGTTGCTTCATTAAATAAAAGAATTAGATTTATATGCATTTAACCATTGCTGGTTGATTTTGTTGGTTTTATTTATTATTCACACAAACTTAGTGCTGTTTTTTGTTAGAAAAGCAAGCGTTCTTTCTTTTAATGTTCCTGCTTCTGCTTTAAGTGATGCTAGGAGGTCTGGAGTTTTTTTATTTTTTTTATATATATTTTATATCAGTACAATTTCCAGTGAACAATCGCCAGGGGTTTGAACAAAATAATAAAAAAAAAAATAGTACCGTAAAAATAGTACCGTAATAGTGATTAAGTAAAGCCATCAAACTTCTGGCCAGAGAAAAAACCCGTAATATGTAGCCAACATTTGGAAGAAGAATGTTTTCAAGATGACTTGGATAATAGCGCGTTGTGACAAACACCAGATACAGCACTGGGACTTGATCAACAGCCGATACCGCACCGTGACGTCACTAACCAGTAGGTGGCAGTAGTGTTCTTTGACAAACATGGATGCCTCGGGTAAAGCACATTCACATGGAAATTACTCTGAATTAAAAACACTGATCATTTATTGAACAGGATGGAAGAATTTCAGATTTAAAGAACTTTCAGAAGTTCTGAATATAACAATGTTAGAACTGTAACTATATGGTCATTTGTTTACTTTTTTCAAGGCTGTACTTTAATAGTCTAGAGACCTATTCTAAACGAAATGACTTTTTGTTTACACTTGTGTAAAAAAAATGACAAAATAAAATCAGTCTAACATTGAAATATAAAGATTCAAAGCAAATACAATACAGTAAAATCAGTGAATCAATGCAAATAAAACCTTAAATATTAAGACTAAATTAAATTTTCCTGCTTGTTGAGGGGATATTAATCAATGGCAATGATGAAATGGAAGCAATCCCTCTTTTTGGAATCATAATTTTTTAGTCTGTTACTTTTAGTACCTTTCAGGTTTACATATTTTTCTTATTACAGAAATAGATGGACTAATGCATAGTTTCCCTATTTGAAATTATATATATGGAGGGATGCCCGATATATCGCTGCTGACATCAGTACTAGCTGTTACTATTTGTTTATATATATATATATATATATATATATATATATATATATATATATATATATATATATATATATATATATATATATATATATATGTGTGTGTGTGTGTGTGTGTGTGTGTGTCAATTATTTTTTTAATGTGGCTTATAATTAGCACAAATTCACAACACATGTCATCTCAAGGAACTTTCCAGTTCACCAGATCATCCAGTGAAATTGATTCAAAGTTTTCTACCTAAGGAAAAGCAGCTGATTGCATCGACTCATTGACTCTTCAGCAATCCCTCACACTAAGCATGCTTGTAGCGACAGTGGAGAGGAAAAACTCCCTTTGAACAGGAAGAAACCTCCAGCAGAACCAGGCTCAGTGTGAGCAGCCATCTGCTGAGGCCGACTGGGGTTCAAGGAGACAGAAGCAGACATAGAAAAAGAAGCATAGATACAAAAGGCAACTGTCAACCAGCTCCACAGGCGGCCCCGTTCAGGAAACACACAGCCAGGCAGACGAGCTCCGAGCCAGCTCCCATGTCAGAGGATGAAGAGAGCACATCCAGTTAGTCACAGTCAGAGAAACAGGACTACACTGGAAAACAGGCCAAGCTCCAACATCTAGAAACAAAGGTGTTGATGGCAGCAGCACAGCTGATATTTCTCTCCAGGATGGTATCTGCATGATATTTGATCACCAGCGCCCTCTAATGATTTTAGGAGAAGTTGAACCATTGATGTGGGCTTTATTCAACATTTGAATGTAGAATAAACATAGAAAACTAGAAATTAGACTTACTACAAGGAAGGAAAAACTTTTAAACCTCCTCTGCATCAACGTGTAGAAATTTACTTCTGAAACCCAGACCAACAAAAAAATGCATATATTCTAAACAAAACCAATGGCGAATTATCTGTTGCACTGTTGCAATAGAAGTTTGTTACAAATAATCTTTAGATGCACAACATCCTAACATTATCTGTATCACCTTGTTCTCGCAGGATCCTGTTAAGGGGAAATTTATCCAGAGGTCATTGGGTGAGAGGTAAGATAAGACCAGTGGCAGTTCTAGACCAAATGTACCTGGGGGCCAGGAGGGGGCCAGCATGTTTTCATGGGGGCCCAAAGAATCATGAAATAAAAAAAACAGGGCAAGAGATTCAAATATATTAACTTAGCTGCATGAAGTGAAACTTCTATTCAGTTAGGTTTGATAAAAGTATATGTCTTATAAGGTCAATATACATTCATAATTTAGGAATTTTACATATTTTTTGATTCAATTTCAGTTAAAATTACTGTTTTCTATAAAATCTGAATTAGAACTCAAGAAAAACTGATAAAGTCAGCCCTAAAAAGGTTTTTTTTTTATTTGTTTGTTTTGAAAAAAAATTTAGCAGATGAAAACTGTGATCCTATCTCAATACCGCTGAAGTTATCACCTTATTGTTTTTAAATAATTAGTAAAACAGAATTTGTAAACCTGTCAGTGACTATGTCTGTTCCAGTGCATATCATCATTAGAATGTATTATGTTTTATTATTTAGTATTATGTCTTCAGTACAGGGGCCATAACAGGGGCCAGGATGTGATCTACAGGGGCACTGGCCCCTGTTGGCCCCTGTCTAGAACCGCCCATGGATAAAACAACTATGCTCCCACCAAGGACATTTATATTTGTGGACAAGCCCCATCCTCACCTTCAAACTTACTTTTGAGTTTTGCACCACTACCTAGATTATCTTCCAGCACATCAAAAATAAATACATTTTAGAATGATGTATTAGACCACAGGAGTAACTTTCTGAAGGACAGGGGACACTGTCCCCACCACCTTTGGCTTGGAGGGGACATGTCCCCACCATGTCCCCACCATTAATCAAGTGAGAATGCATTAATGCATTCTTTTCGTTTTTCCGTCTCTAAGTAGTCCCACATACTTCAGCCGATTTCAACAATTTTGGTATCAAAACCTTCAGCTTCTTCTGGAGGGTTATGCTATATCTTTTGGTAATTTCAATTATTATAATGTTTGAAATATTAAGCTGTTTCTGGCCCAGATAAATGAATGCAAAACTTCAAAAATTCCACTAACAGTTCAGCTACTTTGCCCTTTTTTGTTTCCAAGTTTAGTTTATTTCTGTATTAACTTTCTGTCCATATTTTACATTACTTCAACTTTTCAACACTTTAATCAAGTTTCTTATGTAGCTCTAAGCTGCTCATTCAATACCACATTCTTCAACATTTTAACCAAACCTTTATTTCTTCAACCAGATAAGATTCAAGTTTTTCTTTTCTGATTCTGATAATTTAATACATTTCAGCATATATTTTCAAAACTGGCTTAATTCAGCAATCTTTCTAGACAAGCATTAAGCTTTTCTGTTTACTGCTAATTCATAACATGCCCGACATGTTTCTACTTTTTTCAACAAAGAAATAAAGCATTTATCTTCTATCTCATGTCATTTCAGTGGTTTCTGCCATTTTAAGCTTACAGTTTAGCATACAGCATTCTCACAGCCGTTTCGCAGGAACAGCTATTTTTCTAGTCTGAATAGACTTTGGCTCTCAGCGATATGTGGGACAAATTTCTAAATTTGATTTTGCTGATTTTGAAGGAGGATAATCCCTGATGTAGCTAAAAGGAAAAACATCCAATCAATCAATCCACATTTTTCTGGTTGGACGGATGAATAAAACTGAAATTGTGTGCATATTAGGGAGGCATTATATTGCTGTTGGCATCAGAATCGGCTGTTATTCATTCTTTTTTTTAACATAAATTAATATATAACTATCCATAAATATAAATATCAGTTTATTTTGGTTCTATTGTGTTCTTAACAATATGAAAGCATTCAATAAATATATGTTTGAGCTCAATTTTGGAAAATACAAAAACCTAATCAAAGCGTTTGGGTGGAGTAACTGTACATCCATCAGCCCCCACCCCTAGAGTGTCCCCACCAACTTTCATTACAAAGTTACACCCTTGTATTAGACTATTAAATCCTGTTATCATTTTTTATTACATTGGGAACACATGAAATACATTGTTTTATGTTTTCAAAGCAATGCAGTAAATACATTTGAGAAATTCAATCAAAATAGGAATTAATTGTACGGTAAAACGTGAATAATTGTATTTTCTGACTATTTCCTGCCAGGTTGTGGTCGGAAAATTTAGATCTCTCTTATATCATATATTGATTTATGCTATTTACTCACTGAAAAAAAAAGTTTTCACTCATTCAGTTTCACCTGCAAGGCTAAACAATGCCTGAGTACGGAAGAGGATTAGGGCCACTGAAAAAAAAAAAAGTAACTGATTTTTATTTATTTTTTTTTTCAGTATAGTATGGGAAAAAAGTCAGAATTCTGACTTTAATGTCAGAATTCTGACTTTTTTCTCAGAATTCTGACTTTAATCTCAGAATTCTGACTTTTTTCTCAGAATTCTGAGATTAAAGTCAGAATTCTGACTTTTTTCTCAGAATTCTGACTTTTTTCTCAGAATTCTGACTTTAATCACAGAATTCTGACTTTAATCACAGAATTCTGACTTTAATCTCAGAATTCTGACTTTAATCACAGAATTCTGACTTTAATCTCAGAATTCTGACTTTAATCACAGAATTCTGACTTTAATCTCAGAATTCTGACTTTAATCTCAGAATTCTGAGTTTAAAGTCAGAATTCTGAGAAAAAAGTCAGAATTCTGAGAAAAAAGTCAGAATTCTGAGATTAAAGTCAGAATTCTGAGATTAAAGTCAGAATTCTGAGAAAAAAGTCAGAATTCTGAGTTTCAAGTCAGAATTCTGAGAAAAAAGTCAGAATTCTGAGAAAAAAAAGTCAGAATTCTGAGATTAAAGTCAGAATTCTGAGAAAAAAGTCAGAATTCTGAGTTTAAAGTCAGAATTCTGAGAAAAAAGTCAGAATTCTGAGATTAAAGTCAGAATTCTGACTTTTTTCCGTACTAAACTGAATTAAAAAAAAAAAAAATCAGTTAACTTTTTTTTTTTTCAGTGGCCCTAATCCTCTTCCGTACCTGAGTGAGGGGTGTTCACATGGAAAACATGCGTATTCCCATAACAAGCCAAATTCTTTCTCAAAGTTTGTTATTGTTTAACCAATGTGTGCGTAATTTGTTTTGGCTCTGACACAGCTCTTCACAGCTTTTTCATCATTATAAGTAATGGAGACATTTGTCTAGATCAGAACAGGGCTGATTACCGTTCCCTCTTTGCAAAAATAAAATAAAATGCCAACTCAGCGAAATCCGTCGATCTCTGTTTATTTAACTGGAGTGAACAGGTTTATACTTATTCCCAACATCACAGGTCCATCGATCAGAATATTTATGACTGACTTGCTCATAGCAGTAATGATGTATGATGGTGAATGTAGGATGGGCAGATAAAATAAATGCAGTCTTTATTCCATGATGATGTAAAATATAACTTAAAAATATTTAATAACTACAAATAATTTGAAAGCAAAACATGTTCAAATTACATTGATTGTATTCCCTGTTTACAAGGGGAGTATTAAAACTTTATAATTTAAAGGTTATATGCTCACTTTGGCTTTCCATATTAGCTGCTGTCGAAATTGTTCTAACTTTGAGCTTTTATTGTATGATATGTTTAGATTTGAGCTCAAAATGAAGTGCTATTGTATTTATTTTGCTGGTGAAGTTCTGCGCCAGAATCTTTTCATTCGCGGTCTATCAGTGTGGAGAAGCAGCAGCTCCACTTTGAGCTCCTCTTAGATAATTGCAAGTCTAATTGCTAAGCCCAGCACTTTAATTAAATTTAGTTTATTCATATAGTAACACAAGTGATCTCAGACACGTTACAGAAACTATTTAAAAATATGTAGCAGTTATTTTGCATTTACAGCTCAGATATTAATCTAATCAAGTGTCAGCCTTGATTTTGTTTTAACGTGGGGCAGACTTTTACAGCAATGGAGATTTAAAGAGTTGAAAACATCCGTATAAAGAGATGTTTCCTTGTTTGTAAACGTTGAACATGCTCCCGGATTTACTTTGAAAAAGACTGCGATATAACCGAAGAACTGTAATGCAGCGCATGTGCTTTTGTAACCTTTGTCTCAAGAGTTACGAAAAAAAAAACGCAGAAAAACACCGATAGGGTCCGGACGAAACTCGTTTCAACTACATTCCATCCAGTCAGCGAACGCCCCACATCGCAGTTCCAGTTCTGATTGGCCAGCCATCTGCGGGGTGGGAGTCTCTCCAACCAATAGGAAATCAGATTGCTCTTGCATTGCATCCGTCCAGCCACCCGAAATCAGGCCGAACGAAACCCCGCCGATAAAAACCGAGCCGTCATGTTCACATCCCTCCCTCTCTGTCTCTGCTCCCCGGCCAGGCTGCGGCTTCTGTCAGACTCCTTGGATCAAAACAGCACGAAACAGAAATGTCCGAGAAACTGCCCTACAAAGTCGGTCGGTGGCTATAATAATATTCACGCTTTACAATCGATGTAATTTTGCTAACAAGTCTGGTTTTAATGGTAAACGTTCTGACGGGTTCGGAAGAATATTTTTAGCAGGTAGCATTGGTAACATATGGTAACATATTGTGTATGTATAAATCTAGCTGTATATATTTTTTAATTAACTTTATTAGTATATTGTGGTTTTCTAGGCCAGATGTAGTGTTGACCTGTTAGCATTTACCCCAAATCAGTTTGTAGTCGTAAATGTAACTTCGTCGGTCATTACTAACAAATAGTTTAATCTTCGCTATTTCTTGTTAACTTTTATATTTTCTGGTTTTCATTTTTAACACTTCGCAGGCTTCTACTGAAGTCCTGATAATGAATAGACAGACATGCGAGGGTGCACTCGCGCCGAGCATGGGCTTTTTTTTTCTTCTTCCTAGCTGAAATTTCCCCGCAAAGCCTCTTGGGTAATGTAGTTTATGGAACGGGGCCTGAGATTGAACGCGGCGGTGCTCCCAGTTCCCGCGAACTCCATCTCCCGTGATGCCTTGCACTTCGCCGCTAGTCTTGTTCCTGAGTGACAAGAACAGGCAGAGATTACGCTGCTGTGTGTAGCTTCATAGCTTTTACAGCACGTGGTCTTTATTAGGTGCTGAGTATTTTATTATTTTTAATTTGTTTTATAATAAAATATACACTCTAAAGTAATATCTGAAATGCAGATTGCAGTGGTGGAGCATAATAAATTAACAGACAAAATGAAATGTTACCAATTTTAAACCAATTCAACGTAAAAAAAAAAAAAAAAATCACAGGCCACATACTTTAAAATGCTTTTTTTAAAATATATATTAAAAGCTATTAGTTTGCTTTGTGATTATAAGCAGGTGAAATATGAACCGTTTTATAGATATGAGGCCAAAGTCCAAGTATGGTCTAAAGACAACAGAAATCAAGGGTCAAACGTTTAACTGCGTCTTAGTAGTAATTTTCACTCCCTTGATGCATGCTGGGAAGTAATGCTCTCTAACAAGTTTAGCTTCTTCCTGTTTATTTGGTTTCAGGTCTGTAAATATCACTTTGTTTTCTTCTATATTTCTGCTCAATCTGCAGTGGTTTGAGGCCGCAGAGCCGATTCAGCAGATTGGAGTCTATAATCACATGTGCAGCCATATGTTTGAGCTTTTTGAAAGTTTCCTTTATGATGCTGGGGTTCAGTAAACTTTGGATGGTTGATTGGCTTCTGTTTCAGATAAGGGAAACATTTTGTCTCCTCTTAGTCGTTAAATTGACACGAAGAAGGTCAAATTAAAAATTGATGTGAAAGTGTGGGATATACATATGATGATGAGTCAGAATTGCAAAAAGAAAAAAAAAAGTTTTATCACAATATAGTAAACGTATCGACACTTTCTTCTGATGAAATATTTATACATACTCTAATTATAACTCTAGCAAAATATTGTCCACAAGATGAAATTTGTTTTTTAAACAGATGTACTTATAAACTAGCTTTTATCTACAAATAAATGTCAAATGAGAAACAATAGTACTACTAATGCTGTTATGCTTTTATTATGATTTTACTTAAAATTTTGTAACAAAGTGCATGTTTAATGTACTTTTTTAATATTTGTGAAGATTGGAAATTAAAAACGATCAAAAACATACCAAATTGTTCATGTGTAGAACAGAGTTTGTTTTTGACAGTTTAAGGAAGGAACATTTCCAAAAAATTAAAGCCGGTTCACCTTCAGGTCAGAAATGGAAAGAAGGATAAACTAGAAGGTTGTTTATGCGCTACAGTTGAACCAGAGCGTTTCCGTTTAGTGCATCTTTGCGTCTCTGTTCCAGCTGACATCAGCCTGGCAGAATGGGGACGCAAGGCCATCGACATCGCAGAGAACGAGATGCCAGGCCTGATGAAGATGAGGGAGCTGTACGGCCAGTCCAAGCCCCTGAAAGGCGCTCGCATCGCCGGCTGCCTACACATGACCCTGCAGACCGCCGTGCTCATCGAGACCCTCACAGCCCTGGGAGCTGAGGTGACCTTTACCTGCTGCCTTTGGGGGGTTTTTTTTTTTAAAGCTTTACTTTAAATCTGTTATTCTGAGTTTGTTTTTGCTTTTCATCAGATAATATTTAACTGTGTGATTTAATGTTTTGAACCACACATGGCCTTTGTCAGCTTCTAGCCCCAGTATGAGGCGGCAGGCTTGGCGTTACTCTTTGCCTCACTCGAAGGCAAGAGATTGGACGTATCGATCTATATATTGACACAAGCTGGGTGAGCTTTTTCAGTTTGTTTCACAAGGCCAGCATGTTATCATGTTTGGGTCCATCTGACCAGAACTGGTCTCATCCTGTAGGAACCTGCAGCCTGAGAACCAGCACAGCTAACTATGGTCCAAACTGGTTTATCGTCTGTCTGCTTATAACTGGTTCTGGTTTAAACACTGAACCATTTTTTTATTGGGAGAAAATGGGCTGATCTCTAAACATCTCTTACAAACCGCTAAAGGGGATCTTATTATATAATATCCTTTCATAATTTCTTCAAATCTGCAGCCTTTGGTTTTTACACTAGGGGGCAGCATGATGAGCTTTTTAATCACAGTGAAATAATCTGAAGTTGAGAAACTTTGGATTAAAGTGAATCTCTTCTAACCTTCATGCTAACTGGAACTAGCCACCGCAGACCTTCTGCCTTTCACCTCTCCTAAAGATGAAACTAACTTCTGTTCTCTGAAGACCTTTGCCCTGTTCATGTAGAACAAAATGTCCACATAGCTTCTCCCCTACAGACCTACAGTAAAGGAAACTTGATCAACTGCTGATCAGTGACTCCATGATGCTACTGGAGCTCTTCTAACGGCCGTATTAGATTATGTGAATGCCCCTTGAGGCGTTGCAGCTCAGCTGCTGGTGCTGCTGCTGTGTCATAAGGCGGCAGAGAGAGACGGGTGGTGGTCTGTACAGCGACTGGACCGCTGACACAGGCTCTGGTCATTTTCCACCCCCCCACACTCAGCCTGACAGTAGATCTGTCCTTTATCTGTTATTCCTGATTTTATTTAGTCTCTTTGTAGCTTTAGTTTAGCCTGCAGTGATTCATATGGATGGTTTTCAGAGTGGCCCAGGCAGACTCCTGATGTCAATCTACGAAATGGGCTTAAAATAAGGGTGATGGCACGGAGCCCTTCCGATGTTAAAAGGGTAGAACTGAATAAAAGGCTAACTTTGAATTTCTCGCTTGCCGAAAGTTTGGTTTTGGGATGGATGGTCATTTTGGTATAATCAGGGTTCCCGCAGGTCCTTAAAAAGTCATAAAAGGCATTGAATTCTTAAAACTAAGGCCTTAATCGGTATTAAAATGTCTTAAATCAGTCTTTCATAGGTCTTGATTTTTTAAAACCCAATAAAAAGGAATATTTTATCATGATTTATTTTTGTAATCTAAATAAAACATTAAAATTGACCTTTTTTCTTTTTTTCCGTCCCGATAGTGGAACCAATAAAAGCGTCGTTCAGGGCGGGACATTTGGGAGATGCTGCAAAAAAGACTTAGCTCTGGTTATGTTGGGGCTTTAAAACTGATTTGTTTTGTTCCCTGCTAAAACAAAGTTTGTGAATTCAGTTAAATAATTGTTTAAATATATCTGTCATTTGTGTGTTTTTAGCTTTCTTCCTGTATGGGAAGCTTTTCAAAATCTGAAACATTAGTGCAGTGGTTTATGTTAAAATAAACCTTTGGGTTAAGTTGTCGCAAGCAGGTTTTTCTTGTGAATTCGGTCTTAAATTTTTATTTCAAGTGGCACTAAAAAGTCTTAGTCTTGAGTTTAACTTGCCTTATGCTGTAGGAACCCTGATAATTGTCCCTGATTAGTGCCCTGTCACACCTTAACGATTCAGCCAGTTTAGGCCCAGCATCCCAGAATCTCCTAAAACGCTGCAATTTTTGGCGTATTCATAACGAGTCCTGAACTTATGTCCAGCGACAACCTAACTTATGCATAACGCACGGCAGTGTGAGCATCAGTTAGAGCTGCTCCCCTCAGGCGCGTCGCAGCGATTTATACCGCCCACCCAAAAAAAAAGAAAAAAGAAAAAGGTTTGCAGTGGCAGCAGATTCTAACCTGACACGGAAACCTTCCGTAGAAGTAATTTTGGGAAGGGGCGAAAATACTGATTAGCTGATTGGCCTATGTTGGTGATAGACGGGCCAAATAAACCAATCAGATCAACGAAGCATATGACGTACTAACAGAGCGACGACGAAGAGGAGCCAATTGATAGATCAAACTCTTGCTGAAACCAGTCTGGAGAAGAGCAAAAACATCTTTTCCTCTGAGAAAAGCCTCCAGAGCAGTGTTTTGCTCTTCTTTCAGTGAAGAAATACTCTGTAATTCCGATAAAACTTGCTCGATAGCCATGCTGACGCTAGTTTCATCGGCTGAAGCCGCCATGTTCTTTAGACTGAACTGTCGCGCTTTTCGTTGCGTCCCACCTCAACCCGCCTCAAAGCCAACGCTGATTGGACGTTCGTTTGGTGAACGGCTCCAAATTTTCTTTAATGGAGAGTCTCCAGACTGATTAGCGAGTGAAACCTCGTGAGACCATCCTGATCTCGCGAGGCTAAGCAGATTCAGCTTCATGTCTGCTTTGTTGGTGGCGGGCGTGAACACCCCCTATGATGGGGATGAAGTCTGGAGAAGTTACTCACAGATTTAGGACAAGCTAGACGCAACGACTTATTAACTTACACTTAATGTATGTCAACGACGATTAGATAACTTGCCTGTAATTTATGGCCCATGTAGGAGCATACGCTGGCATACATCAGGACCCAACGTACCGTTTGCCGTATGGCGGTTAGTGCTGGTGTACTTCAGCATGTTTCAGCGTGCTCATAACTTGTGTGTATTCCAGCATTTTAGGTGTAAAATAAATTACTTTTTCTCTTTCTTCACTGCATAGAAACTATCCTTAAACCAAAATCAGTTATTCTAGTTAAAATGTAAAAAATCTGGTTGGTGAAAAATTAAGCGGCATCCAGGTTACAGTTTAGAGGCTCTAAACCGTTGGTAAATGTTTGTTGTTCTCCTCCTCCACAGGTCCAGTGGTCCAGCTGCAACATTTTCTCCACCCAGGACCACGCCGCCGCCGCCATCGCCAAAACTGGCATTCCAGGTACCAAAGGCCAGCTCTGTGGCGGCAGTGCGTAACGTTAATCCAAACCTGGAGAAGTGGTGGAGTAAAAACCAGTTTGTGCTTCTAGTGTACGCCTGGAAGGGTGAGACCGATGAGGAGTACGTGTGGTGCATCGAGCAGACGATATACTTCAAAGACGGTCAGCCCCTCAACATGATCCTGGATGATGGAGGAGATCTCACCAACCTGGTCCACAAGAAGTACCCCAAACTGCTGGCAGGTCCGTTGCTCTGCGGATGTTTTCAGCCTCAGTAGATGCAGTCGGAGCAAACGAGGTCATCTTTGCAAACAGCTCTGCTGGTCTGACCTCACGTTCACTCAAGTTAATGTTTATTTCTATAACCATTTAAAAATCTGGCTGAGATTAAAGTCATTCATTTAACTTACTGTGTACAAAGTTTTAATCCATAACTGACTGTTAAAAATGATCTGAATAAAAAAAAAAAAAAAAAAGGAAAAAAAACTAGAATAAATCCCCAAACCTTAACCTTTCAGTTAAACTGCTTCTAAAAAAAATATAACTGAAACAAATTATCTATGGAAAGTAATTTAGATACTTGCATCCTGAAGCTTCCCAAACAGAGGCCACGATGCATCACATCTAAAAGAGGGAAGATACAGAAACAAGCCATGGATTATTACTATTAATAAATATTATGATCCAGGGAAAAAAAAAATGTTATTTTTCCGGGTGGATCATCTAAATAAGGTGTCCTCCACATGTTCTGGTATATTTACGGAAGGCCGTCCTGCGTGCTCGGTTCTTATTTTCACTTACCGGTGATGAGTCTGACGGAGTGGATTAATTGCAAATCTTTTTTTTTTTTTTTTTAAGCTTGCATGAGCCATGCAAAAATCTACTTTTAAACAGAGCGTGCACGAGGAGAAATGGGCTCTCGTCTGCTTTTAATAGGCGTTCGCTCTCTGGCGCGGGTACAGGGTTGTGCATCTGCATTTTCTTTTTAATGGAGGGAAGGTTTTTTTTTAAAAATAGTTAAAAATCCCCGCAGTACCTTACTTGTTCATCTTGGATTAATCTGAAGTTTTGTTGAAGCGGGTCAATTTATTTTTTTAGATTAATTGATTAATAATCAGATTGCAAAAGGTTCCTCAATTTATTTATTTTAACCAGGTGAAATAAACTTTTCCACTTTAAGAGTTCTGGGTAGAGTTTACTGATGGATGAAAATGGTTTAATTTTTAACAATTCTGTTATAATTCCTGCTCTACGTGGGTCGCTCTGTCATCTAAAGGCATTTTTTACTCCAGTCATGATTAATTGATTACTAAATTAGTTGATTTCAAAAGATTAACCATGATTCTTCTGATTGTTTTAGGTCTACTTTGAAGGAACAGCTGTATTGGAATAATTAGAGAATGATTTTCTTACATGCCTTCATGGTACTTTAATAATTTATTATTAAATTATATCCATTATATATTTGTTGTCCAGATAAAATAAGTTAATATCCCAACAATCGTGTAAATCATCACTTCAGGAACCCTCTGCTCCATAGCGACTCCTTCAGTCACTGTTGATATATTTTTAGCCAAACATGCAGCCGTTGAAATGAACAGATTATCGCTCATGATGGGTGATTTAAACAAATAATTATTGATTGATTAATTTATTTTGACTATTTCTATTTAAATTAGTTGAAAGGATAGATTTGATTGTTTCTCTTTAGCTGAAAGCATTTGGAGACTATTTATCGATTCGTGTTTTTGTTTCCGGGGGAACAATAAGCGTGTAGGACCAGGATGTTCCGCCTTTCCAGTGAAAGCGAGTTTTGAAGGAGACTAAAAATTAAGATGTTTGTTTAACTCTATTGGTCTAAAAGAGTTTTATTGTAATGGATAAAGAAGGAATATTTATTGGAATATTTGAACATAATCGAACATAATTAGCTGTTTTTTTATGACATTTCCCAGTTTTTTTTTTGTTTTTTTTTTGTTTAAAAAAGGTTTTCTAAGTGTGGATTATTTTTAAACTGAATGCCCCTTGAGGCGTTGCAGCTCAGCTGCTGGTGCTGCTGCTGTGTCATAAGGAGGCAGAGAGAGACTGGTGGTGGTCTGCACCGATACTCGACTACATCCAGAGGACTCGGAGTCAAAATCAGCACCAACACTTTTACTCCTGACTGTGTTTGTTTGTATCGGGACACTTCTACATAGAATTTACGTACTTTAGGAAAGTCTGTTGATGCTAGCCTTTATTCTCAGGTATCCGCGGCGTGTCGGAGGAGACCACTACAGGTGTTCACAACCTGTACAAGATGATGAAGAAAGGCGAGCTTAAGATTCCTGCCATCAACGTCAACGACTCCGTCACCAAGGTAACCTCCTCAGGGGTCTACAGGAACCCTGCGCCAGGAAATAAAATCAAAACTTAAAATCTTCCTCCTCCTTCCTTCTGCAGAGCAAATTCGACAACCTGTACGGCTGCAGAGAGAGTCTGATCGACGGCATCAAGCGAGCCACCGACGTCATGATCGCCGGGAAGGTGGCGGTGGTAGCGGGTTACGGCGACGTCGGCAAGGGCTGCGTTCAGGCCCTGAGGGCCTTCGGCGCTCGGGTCATCGTCACGGAGATCGACCCCATCAACGCTCTGCAGGCTGCTATGGAGGGTAGGCGGTCGGTTTTTAAAAGCTGACTGGAAGCTTAGCTTTAACGCGTTAGTATAAAAGGGGGTTTAATCTAACCTGCACTGATGTGACTGTAGGCTATGAGGTCACCACCATGGATGAAGCCTGTAAGGAGGGAAACATCTTCGTCACCACCACTGGCTGTGAAGACATCATCCTGGGACAGTAAGTCAGAGCGCCTCAGCAGCTGGCCCCATCCGCCTCGCTCTCTGTCGCTACAGATGATCGTTCTGTCCCCACTTTCAGTCACTTTGAGAGCATGAAGGACGACGCCATCGTTTGTAACATCGGACACTTTGACTGCGAGATCGACATGAGCTGGCTGGAGAGGAACGCCGCAGAGAGGATCAACGTTAAACCGCAGGTAGGAGAACCGCTTTGAGGCTCGGATCAATGATTCCTTCAGGGCTGAAGTTCCAAAAAAGTGAAGTTTAAAGACTAGTTTCCTAGTTTGAAGAAGTTTCTCTTCCCTTCCAGGAAGTTTTTTGAATTCAAAATGTCAGAAATAGTGTTTAGTTCCAGGCTTTTTAGAGTAGACCAAAAAGAGAACATGCAGATTGAAATGAACGAACGGGTCCATCCCTTTGGAATGGGGCTCATTTAGTTTCTGTCTTGGCCTGCAATGACAAATACTGGTATTGTCCCAGAATAGGGGGGGGGAATTGTTGGCCTGGCTGAAGAGGCGTTCTGTTCCCCTGTACAGGGCTGCTTATCCTGGCAGTGAGCGTGTCAGATATTTTTGATTTCTGCCCAATGTTGAAGCGTGGTCTGCGCTATGTTATTCAACGCCAGAGGGCCAATCAGGAACTAGCTGTGGGTCTAGATACGGCCGAGGCGGTGAGGAAGTGGGGGCAAGTTTGTGCGACAACGGAGGGCCAAAAAGAGCGGGGATCCAGGTGGAATAGGGGTCCCAGCGTTCTCACCTCGCTCCTCTAGCTGCTCCATCTTCACCAGTCGTTTTCCACAATGGCGGACATATAAACAAAACAAGCCGGTAAGGAACCAAACAGGAAATACGCATAGTGTAGAGCAGATGTAGATTTGACCAATCAGAGGCCTCCTGTCTGTGGAAGGAATCAACATACAGGTGCTGGTCATAAAATTAGAATATCATGAAAAAGTAGATTGATTTCAGTAATTCCATTTAAAAAGTGAAACTTGTATATTATATTCATACATTACATACAAACTCATATATTTCAGATGTTTATTTTGTTTAATTTTGATGATTACAAATGACAACAAATGAAAATCTCAAATTCATCATATCAGAAAATTAGAATATTACTGAAGACCAATAAAAACAAAGGATTTATAGAAATGTTGGCCAACTGAAAAGTATGAACATGAAAAGTATGAGCATGTACAGCACTCAGTATTTAGTTGGGCCTCCTTTGGCCTGTATTACTGCAGCAATGCGGCGTGGCATGGAGTCGATCAGTCTGTGGCACTGCTCAGGTGTTATGATAGCCCAGGTTGCTCTAATAGTGGCTTTTAGCTCTTCTGAATTGTTGGGTCTGGTGTATTGCATCTTCTTCTTCACAATACCCCATAGATTTTCTATGGGGTTAAGGTCAGGAGAGTTTGCTGGCCAATTAAGAACAGGGATACCATGGTCCTTCAACCAGGTACTGGTAGCTTTGGCACTGTGTGCAGGTGCCAAGTCCTGTTGGAAAATGAAATCTGCATCTCCAAAAAGTTGGTCAGCTGCAGGAAGCATGAAGTGCTCTAAAACTTCCTGGTATGTGGCTGCGTTGACCCTGGACCTCAGAAAACACAATGGACCAACACCAGCAGATGACATGGCACCCCAAACCATCACTGACTGTGGAAACTTTACACTGGACTTCAAGCAACGTGGATGAAGTGCCTCTCTTCTTTTCCTCCAGACTCTGGGACCTTGATTTCCAAAGGAAATGCAAAATTTACTTTCATCAGAGAACATGACTTTGGACCACTCACCAGCAGTCCAGTCCTGTTTCTCTTTAGCCCAGGCAAGACGCTTCTGACGCTGTCTGTGGTTCAAGAGTGGCTTGACACAAGGAATGCGACAGCAGAAACCCATGTCTTTCATACGTCTGTGTGTGGTGGTTCTTGAAGCACTCACTCCAGCTGCAGTCCACTCTTTGTGAATCTCCCCCACATTTTTGAATGGGTTTTGTTTCACAATCCTCTCCAGGGTGCGGTTATCTCTCTTGCTTGTACACTTTTTTCGACCACATCTTTTCCTTCCCTTCGCCTCTCTATTAATGTGCTTGGACACTGAGCTCTGTGAACAGCCAGCCTCTTTAGCGATGACCTTTTGTGTCTTGCCCTCCTTGTGCAAGGTGTCGATGGTCGTCTTTTGGACAACTGTCAAGTCAGCAGTCTTCCCCATGATTGTGTAGCCTATAGAACTAGACTGAAAGACCATTTAAAGGCTTTTGCAGGTGGTTTGAGTTAATTAGCTGATTAGAGTGTGGCACCAGGGGCCATCAATTTTGAACCTTTTCACAATATTCTAATTTTCTGATATGATGAATTTGAGATTTTCATTTGTTGTCATTTGTAATCATCAAAATTAAACAAAATAAACATCTGAAATATATGAGTTTGTATGTAATGTATGAATATAATATACAAGTTTCACTTTTTAAATGGAATTACTGAAATCAATCTACTTTTTCATGATATTCTAATTTTATGACCAGCACCTGTACAGAGGAACAGAACTCCTCACCTGTTCAGTCAGGCCCCTGGATGGGAAGGGAAACGTCTTCAAACTTGGAAACAAAGTCCAGTGGATTGTTTTTACTTTTTTGGAATGACTCTGAACTGGATCGGATCAGATCTGATCTGCCTACCGTTTGCTGCTGGTTTCCAGCGTCTGTGGGTTTGCTGCCCCTTGAGGCGTTGCAGCTCAACTGAAAGTGTTGCAGCTGTGTCATAAGGAGGCGGAGAGAACCTGCTGGTGGTCTGCACCGGGGCTCTAGAACTCTGTGGGGACTCGGAGTCATTCTCACCATCAACACATGTGCTTCTTCCACCCATTCTGTGCCTTTTTTTTATTTACGTGAATCGGGGAGGCAAGTTTTTCTTTTTATTTTATTCCTTCCTGGAATTGTATAAAAATTCTCGTAAGCCACCTTAAATTGCTGCAGTCCTTTTTATTTTCACATGGTTAGTAGTTTGTGTTGCTTTTTAATTTTGTGATATAAAATGACACAATGATTGTCCGGCCGGTTGGCGTATGGGTCTACTGTGGCTGCAAAGCTGTGATCCGCTTGGCTCCTCCTCAGGTGGATCGTTATCGTCTGAAGAACGGCCGTCACATCATCATCCTGGCGGAGGGCCGGTTGGTCAACCTGGGCTGCGCCATGGGACACCCTTCATTCGTCATGAGCAACTCTTTCACCAACCAGGTAAGCGCCGAGTCGAGGTAGGAGGCGGAGCCTGTTGCTGCGTCCAGTTTGTCTGACTGCCGTCCTCCTCTGCAGGTGCTGGCTCAGATCGAGTTGTGGACAAACACGGCGAAGTATCCGATTGGAGTTTACTTCCTACCCAAGAAGGTCAGAATCTGCTACAAAACTCGAAATAAGCGCTTGATAGAGATGATTTCTATTAAAACTCACTGGAGGAGGATTTTATGACATCATGGATGTGGAGGAAAAATTCAAAACTGTAACGAATGAAGCAAATGAAGTTTAATCAGTTTTAAATCTATTTGGTTACAAACTTCCTATAGACTGTGTTTTTGCTTTTTTTTGGGGGGGGTAGCTTTGTTATCAGTCGTTTTAAGTGACCCTAACACTCTTCCATACTGTAACATGCGTCTCTAAAAGGTTTTCCTAAGATTGTTAGGGCTGCAGCCCCTGAGCTAGAAGAACGTCCACATTTCCTGATCGGTTTTCAGTGAGGGGTTTAGTGAAGAGCAGGTTCTGGTAGCCGTCTGTAGGTCAGTCTAACGCTGTGGAAACAGCCCAGGTTTCTGAACCAAGGCGGACTGAGGGACAGTCATGTTAAAAGGGAAGTTCTATTAGATCTTTGGAGGCCATCATCAGGGACTTGAATCAATGGTCTACTGTAGGAACCAGATCTACTCCGCTCCTGCTTCATGCTTGTGACGTTACGCTACATGATTGGCTGAACGTTGCCACATGATGTAAAACATTGTGGCTGCCCAGACAACGATGAAAACACCATGCAGCGTCTGTAGCGTTAGCATGTCTAACAACAAAACTGGGGGGAAAAAAAACTATATTATGGTCTAACAGTTATTTTGTTAACCAGAAACAAAGGGGGATCTGGGTAGCGCTTTGGCTAACTGCTCAGTAGCTAACAGGTCAGCCTCTTTTAGCTCGGTCAGTTAGCCACATTAAGCTATACTATTAATTTATGTCAACAACTGTTCGTTTTTTACAAGAATATTTTTTTTTATTAAATTTTTTTTTTTTTATACTAAAATCTCTACCAAAGTCATTTAACATGTTCTGTCTTTTCTACTCTGCCCTCTATGGAAGACGATTAGATCCTAAAAAAAAGTAAATAAAAGTTAACAGATTTTTAAACTTTCTTTCAGTTTAATATGGGAAAAAAAGTCAGAATTCTGAGGAAAAAAAGTCAGAATTCTGACTTTAATCTTAAGAATTCTGACTTTTCTCAGAATTCTGACAGCTAACAAACATGTTAGCATCAAGCCATAGCCATGTCTGTTTTAGAGACTAGCTCTCTTGTTTTAATGACCTTCTGATCCTCCATTAATGAAAGGGGAGATTAAAGTCAGAATTTTAAACTGAAATAAAATTTAAAAATCAATTAACTTTTTTTTTTTTTTTTTTCCCGGTGGCCCTAATCCTTTTCCGTAGCTCTCAGACCTTAACGTAAAGAATAAAAATAAGCTGAGACTTTTTTTTTTTTTTGTCCCTTTTTGTCATCTTGTTAAATGGCTCCATCGTCCTAAAACACAGTTCTTTCGTTCCAAGACTACTTTCGGCTGCTTTAGATCTTCCGATGAAATGTAAAATGGCAATTATAGGTAATATGTTGAGACTACAAAAGAGATTTGATCCTTAAGAAACTGGTGCAATACAGTTTGTCCGAGTGGAGTTGCCATATGATGACATCATAAGGAAGGCCCCCGAGCAGATCTGGTACCAGCATTGCAGGCTGGTACCGGTTTGCTCACTTCCTCATTTATAAATAATGGAGTAATTTGAAAAGAACCAGTTTGAAGTGATGAGGTCCTTCCCATTTAGTCCACAGGGTGGCAGCGTTGTTCTCGGTTGCTTATTGACCAAAACAAACATGTCCACATTTAACAAAGCTTAAAATGTACGACCCATTTGTAGTGTGATGTTTTTATTGGTACCTTTACAGATGAGAGGAGGACCAACGTTTTTGTAAATAATCATTCTTGGTGTTTAAGAAACTCTCTGATATTTTAGCTCATGTTTATAGTACACTTCATTTTCTAACATGTAAACAGTTTTCAGTTTACTCTCTAAATCTTTCAGCTGTCTCCTTTGTTCTTTGACATTTCCATTTGGGTGACGTTCTGTTGTTTGTCTTGCAGCTGGACGAGCAGGTGGCCGCCGCTCACCTGGATAAACTGGGAGTGAAGCTGACCAAACTGACGGACAAACAGTCCAAGTATCTGGGCCTTCCCACCGAGGGGCCGTTCAAAGCAGACCACTATCGCTACTGAGCGCCCTGCTAGCCTGGGGAATGAGTCGGAGGTGCGGTGGGATGTTGGTGGAGCAGGTTCTTCTCTGAGCGCTGCAGTTAGTTCAACCCAGCCAGATCTCAGGGATGCAGACCGTTTTTTTTTTTTTTTTTTTTTTTTTCCTCATAGCATCGCCTTTTTAACGAACCCTTGAGAAGTTAGTTGAGCAGATGTGAGAAATGAGCTCAAACAAATCGACGTGCCCACCAGGTAATTGGAAGCACAGAACTAAAAGCTTCAGTTAGCAGATTTGATTGAAAATTTCTCACTAGAATATTTTATCTCCCTCCTTTTTGTTTTTTGCTCACCAACTTACCGACGCGTCCAACTGCCTCGCCTCGTTCTCATCCAAACGTTTCTGAAACGCCGAGTGCTTCTGTCAGAATATTCCTCTGTCTAATGTCATTCCCCGTCTGTGTAAGGAATCATGCGAAGCCTGGATTTATATCTTGGAGCGACTTCAGATTAAGCTTGATCCGCCGGTTTGATCGCCGTATGACGGTTTTTGTGTACTGTGGTCCTTTTTTTCTCAGTCAGTCTGTGTGAACACGGTTTCCTTTTAGCACTTAGTTAAAATATTTTCAGGAGAATCTTCTGAAAGGTTAACTGGTTTGCTTGTTGCTTAACAAAGTGCATTTCTTCAGTTTTGGATGTAAAACTTCCAAATCTTTCTGCAGACGACCTCATCTTCTGAATTCTCTGGGTGGTTCTTCTCCCCAAAGTCATTATTTCTTAAAAATGTGATTTTATTTAATTGGTTGTAGAAATGTGTGCATCATATTTCCTCTCTGGTTCTTCCTCTGATTGAGGACTTTTTGCCCGGTCAGGCTAAATCTCTGATCCGAGTCCAGCAGGTCGGGTTGACCTGCGATGTTAAAAATTAATTCATGCTAAAAATATGAAGTGATGATGAATAAAAAATTTTTTTAAATACCTTCTCTTCTTTTCGCCTATTTCTTTGTCTAATTTGTATCTAAACTACGAACATGAAGCAGTTGCATGTTTTAGTGCGTTTTTGCTCCTGCAAAGGGTTTTGTTCTCTGCTGGTAAACCGAAAAATGCCACTGCTCTCCCCAATAAAGAAATATTTTAGGAAAGTTTTCTTCTGAATTTTTCTCTATTTAAGTTGAGTTCTTTAGGATTATGCTAATTTTAGACCATTTAAATAATAAACCCATTTACTTCTAATTAATTTTTTTCCCTAAATTATTTGTTTTTGTAGCTTTTTTTTTTCCCATTTGATTTCTAATCTTTAAATCTATTGTCTGTAGTGTTTGTAAAGTCATTTAGGAGTAATTTAAGTGAAAACATTGTACAAACATTGCTGACAGATTTCTCAGTTTCAAAGCATATATATACAGGTGCTGGTCATAAAATTAGAATATCATGAAAAAGTAGATTGATTTCAGTAATTCCATTTAAAAAGTGAAACTTGTATATTATATTCATACATTACATACAAACTCATATATTTCAGATGTTTATTTTGTTTAATTTTGATGATTACAAATGACAACAAATGAAAATCTCAAATTCATCATATCAGAAAATTAGAATATTACTGAAGACCAATAAAAACAAAGGATTTATAGAAATGTTGGCCAACTGAAAAGTATGAACATGAAAAGTATGAGCATGTACAGCACTCAGTATTTAGTTGGGCCTCCTTTGGCCTGTATTACTGCAGCAATGCGGCGTGGCATGGAGTCGATCAGTCTGTGGCACTGCTCAGGTGTTATGATAGCCCAGGTTGCTCTAATAGTGGCTTTTAGCTCTTCTGAATTGTTGGGTCTGGTGTATTGCATCTTCTTCTTCACAATACCCCATAGATTTTCTATGGGGTTAAGGTCAGGAGAGTTTGCTGGCCAATTAAGAACAGGGATACCATGGTCCTTCAACCAGGTACTGGTAGCTTTGGCACTGTGTGCAGGTGCCAAGTCCTGTTGGAAAATGAAATCTGCATCTCCAAAAAGTTGGTCAGCTGCAGGAAGCATGAAGTGCTCTAAAACTTCCTGGTATGTGGCTGCGTTGACCCTGGACCTCAGAAAACACAATGGACCAACACCAGCAGATGACATGGCACCCCAAACCATCACTGACTGTGGAAACTTTACACTGGACTTCAAGCAACGTGGATGAAGTGCCTCTCTTCTTTTCCTCCAGACTCTGGGACCTTGATTTCCAAAGGAAATGCAAAATTTACTTTCATCAGAGAACATGACTTTGGACCACTCACCAGCAGTCCAGTCCTGTTTCTCTTTAGCCCAGGCAAGACGCTTCTGACGCTGTCTGTGGTTCAAGAGTGGCTTGACACAAGGAATGCGACAGCAGAAACCCATGTCTTTCATACGTCTGTGTGTGGTGGTTCTTGAAGCACTCACTCCAGCTGCAGTCCACTCTTTGTGAATCTCCCCCACATTTTTGAATGGGTTTTGTTTCACAATCCTCTCCAGGGTGCGGTTATCTCTCTTGCTTGTACACTTTTTTCGACCACATCTTTTCCTTCCCTTCGCCTCTCTATTAATGTGCTTGGACACTGAGCTCTGTGAACAGCCAGCCTCTTTAGCGATGACCTTTTGTGTCTTGCCCTCCTTGTGCAAGGTGTCGATGGTCGTCTTTTGGACAACTGTCAAGTCAGCAGTCTTCCCCATGATTGTGTAGCCTATAGAACTAGACTGAAAGACCATTTAAAGGCTTTTGCAGGTGGTTTGAGTTAATTAGCTGATTAGAGTGTGGCACCAGGGGCCATCAATTTTGAACCTTTTCACAATATTCTAATTTTCTGATATGATGAATTTGAGATTTTCATTTGTTGTCATTTGTAATCATCAAAATTAAACAAAATAAACATCTGAAATATATGAGTTTGTATGTAATGTATGAATATAATATACAAGTTTCACTTTTTAAATGGAATTACTGAAATCAATCTACTTTTTCATGATATTCTAATTTTATGACCAGCACCTGTATATGTAGAGATAGATATTAATTTAATTTTTTATTTTTTTTTTGAACACTCCAGCTGACCCCCAGGGACCTCGATGCCAAAAGTCCTCCCTCTCCTTTAAAGCTGCAGTCTGTAACATTGAGGAGAGAGCAGACTTCGACTGAAAATTTGAAGAAAAACAGGTTTCACGCCACTCCCCCACCCTCTCTGCTTCACTCATGCCCCACCTCCAAGCTCCACCCCTCTCACAGCATCTACGCGGCTACCGGATTCGACCAGAAAGGAGGGGGGGGCGGGATTCAGCGTGTGTGAGCTGTGATTGACACTCCATCAGACGCTCCTCTGGCTGTGATTGGTTGTTTTGACTCGTATTCTTTCCAGATTGAAATACAGGCAGTAGGCGGTACCAATTGAAGCAGTTTTTTTCACAGGTTACATATCACATGTACTGCTGTCTGGGCATAGGGACAGTTTTAGCCAATATGACAAAAAAGTGATTTTTAAGAACTTACAGACTTCAGCTTTAAAGGAAAAGTCCGGTTAGCAAGGAATAATCAATGGATCAATATCTATACCTAAAACTAATACGTTTGCAGTAATTTAATGAATTTAGTGTTAATCAGGATAAAAATAAAACGTTTTTGTGATCAGAGACTGGGAGTGGCCTTTTTTTTCATATAGTAACCCCTCCCTCCTGCCATCTTCCAGCAGTGACGTCACGGTGCGGTAAGCCTAGCGCCATTCTCCCCGCTTTACAAGCTAAATCAATGGGAACTACTAGACACATCTGCAATCAACAACAATTATTGAAGATTTCCAGAGGACTTCACCATTGAAATTCACCAGAGCTATAGTGAAACTGACAATGCCCACGTGCATGGCAGCTGGATGCTGGAATACATCGGGTAAAAGTGAAAAAAAAGAGTTATTCCACCTTTCTGATTCCTGATCCTCCACGGACGGGTTGGTCGTTGGATCGCCAACTTGAAGAGGGAGGATTTGCCATCGAACTTCTGGCCAGAGAAAAAACCCGTAATATGTAGCCAACATTTGGAAGAAGAATGTTTTCAAGATGACTTGGATAATAGCGCGTTGTGATAAACACCAGATACAGCACTGGGACTTGATCGACAGCCGATACCGCACCGTGACTTCACTAACCAGTAGGTGGCAGTAGTGTTCTTTGACAAACATGGATGCCTCCAGTAAAGCACATTCACATGAAAATTACTCTGAATTAAAAACACTGATCATTTATTGAACAGGATGGAATAATTTCAGATTTAAAGAACTTGAAGTTAATTCTGAATGTGTCGGATTCTTCCTTTAAACTTCTAAATGGGATATTGAGGATGGAAGACTTCTACTCTTCTGATGATCGCTGTCCTGGGGGGGGGTGGGTTGGGGGGCTGGTTTAAAAAAATCAGTTGAATCTTGCCAAACACCCTAAATTTTTGAGTGAACAAAGTTGAATGGGATTGGTGGATTTCACTCAATCTGGCACTTTATTTCTATACAAAGATAGAACAAGCGCTGACAAGACTAAGTTGTTCTCAGTCTGGGAAAAGTTATGAATCTTGTCAAAAGTAAATTTAATCAAAATGAATTAGACACTGTTGAAAAAAACAGTAAAATGGAATAAACCTTGAGAAACTACCTGGCTTGTTATGGGATTAAGTATTTCCAGTCCCAAACAACTCCTCTTACAGACACTGTGGCCTTGCAGGACAAATGGCTTGAGTGAAAACATCATAGAAAGTCAGCACTCATCAATCAATGTATGAAATTAGAAATGAATTCAAATCCAAATTATCCAGACACAGTCTTTTCCCAGTTATTCTTTTCCTTTTGTCACATGCAGGTGTGGAAGCAGACTACTAGGAGTTACTGCATATCTTCTGTTTACTTTTTAAAAGTAGACAGGGTGTCTGGCCCACAGAATAAAACTGAAAATTGGTTCCACAGGAGAGGAGCCTGATAAAGTATGAAGGTGAGAATGTGTGGGACTATTCACATTTTGAACAAAGCCAATATCGTCTAAGATAACATTACAATGCTGTACATACGCTATGACCTTCAATGTCATATATGTTAATATCCCCCACTATGATGACCCTGTCAGCATTCAACACCAAATCATAGGAACTCTGAAAACTCATCTAGCAATTCAGAGTAAGGATCTGGTGGACGATAAAAAGTTACAAAGAGAAGAGGTTTTGTGGTTTTGCAATTTGGATGAGAGAAACTACGGGTTAAATGTTCAATAGAGTTGTAAGTATTAACTGCCTTTGGAGTAATCAGTAAGTCAGACTGAAAGATTGTTGCTACTCCTCCTCGCCCAGAAATTCTGCGTATGTGAAAAATTTAATTAACTAGAAGGAGCTGCCTCATTTATGCTCACATGATCCTCTTGCTGCAGCCAGGTTTCTGTAAGGCAACATAAATCAATGTGATTATCACAGATCAAGTCATTAACTAGTAGACTTTTAGAGGAAAAAGATCTTATGCTAAACAGACTACATTTAATGGTTTAGAATATCATGATTTACTCCTTTGGGAATATTTGCTAATTTATTAAATTTTGGTCGTGGGCAAGACACTGTCTGGATGGAGTAAAGAGTGGGTAACAGTAGAGAAGCTGCAGAGAGGTGTGTTAAACTACGACTCTGCTTCCTGGTCTGCACCCTGGGTGGCCAGGGTTTTGGAGGACTAATACCGGTAAATGTGACCACAGTCCTAGAAAGAAGAGCTGCACCATACAAAGTGGGATGGATGCCGTCTCTCCGAATCAGACCAGGCTTTCCCCAAAAGGATTGCCAATTATTAATGTAGCCCACTTTGATTTCCTGCTGTGTTTTAAGCCGCTCAGTGTGAACATAAGAGATGGAAGAGGTTTCAGAATGCTTAAATCAGGGATGTCAAACTGGTTCCGGAAATGGCCGTGTGGCTGCAGGTGTTCTTTCCAACCAAGCAATAGCAGCAGACTCCATACATCTCATCTAGGGGGTCCAAGCTGAACATGCTGACTTGATGATATGGAGTCTGGTGTTCTATTGTTTGGTTGGAAAAAAACCTGCAGCCAAGCGGCCCTTTCTGGAACCAGTTTGAAACCTGTGGCTTAGAGTACTAGAAACATGACAATTGATCTAACTTAGACAGACTGAGGTGTGTATGTTAGTGAATTGGTTGTTACATTTAATGGCTCACTAATTTAAGTTTTAAGCTATTATTTTGCCACTGGATTATATTCATGAGTATCTTTTATTTCTTTGTTTTCTAATTATGACAGGATTGGTCCCACATACAAATGAATGCAGACATTAGGATACCCCCTGAAAGTTGGTTCTCATAACATCCAGCAGATGCCAACATTCAGAACTGTTTTAAAATGTATCGAGCTTTTGAGTTTATGCCAAAAAATTCAAAATTTTCAGAAATCCCCATCACTATGAATCTGATTGTCTGGGAGTCCCTCTGAAAGGACCAACAATCATGACCATCTTCCTGATTTTGTTCAGGTGCGTCAGATTAGGGGGCGGAGCTAAAACCTGCTGCTTTAAGCATAACTGATGTTTGAATCCAAAGCGAGTCGTTCAGAAGCATAAAGTCTTTGGTTGTTCGTCGTACAGTGACTGGCCACCAGCGACTCTGTCGCCCCGGTGAGCGAGTTCCTGCAGCTTCCTTCTGGACAGAGATTCATTGTCCTGAGAGTTAGGACCCCTTGCTACAGGACCCGCTTTGCTCCAGTAGCAATTAATGCACTTGTATTCATCCTAGTGGTCATTGACTTTTCTCTACTTGACTTTTCTGCACTTTATCACTCTATAGTTAGTGGCTCAGGTTATCCTGAGCTCTCTCTTAGACTTCTGGAGGACATAGGGACCCCTTTTTCATCATTCTGCTTCATTCTACCTCTATTCTCCCACTCTGCAGAATCTGTTAGTTCAATCTCTAACGTTCTGCTCTCTCTGCTTTTTTCATAGTAGCTTCATCTGGTCTGTTCCTGTTTGGCTGTGACTCCATCCTGGAGAGAAATATCAGCTGTACTGCTGCCATCAACACCTTTGTTTCTAGATGTTGGAGCTTGGCCTGTTTTCCAGTGTAGTCCTGTTTCTCTGACTGTGACTAACTGGATGCTTCTTTTTCTATGTCTGCTTCTGTCTCCTTGAACCCCAGTCGGTCTCAGCAGATGGCCGCTCACACTGAGCCTGGTTCTGCTGGAGGTTTCTACCTGTTAAAAAGGAGTTTTTCCTCTCCACTGTCGCTACAAACATGCTTAGTGTGAGGGATTGCTGAAGAGTCAATGAGTCAATGCAATCAACTGGTTTTCCTTAGACAGAAAACTTTGAATCAATCTGACTGGGTGATCTGGTGAACTGGAAAGTGCCTTGAAATAACTTTTTTTTGGCGCTATATAAATAAACTAATTGAATTACAATCTCTACTGTCCCTTGTAGCACGATCTTGTGTCTTGTCTTTGTTTGCTTTTATTAAGTACAGAAAAGCATTTTAGGAATATTTAATGGGCCGAATTTGCTTGTTTCCATTTTAAATATTATCACTGGGGAACTTGGAGTACTTGTCAATATCTGGGTTTGTACCGTTTTCATTTGTCCTCTGTCTTCTTTATTTCACTTCTTAGGTCTGTTTGCAAATTAGATTCACATTCCCAGACTGCCAAACAGATTTCCCTACAGCTGTCAATAAATTAACCGTGTACCTTGGTGAGTTGGTGTGGGCGTCACGTAGGATACCTTTAAAGCAACCTCAGCAGATGGTTTCCGTCACGTTCCTTTAGGTCAAACTAGACTTTAGATAGATCATGTCTCAGCTGGTTTTGTTGCTGCTCAGTGGTGAAGTGGGTAGCACTACTGCTTTGCAGCAAGATGGTTTTGGGTTCGATTCCCGGCCCAGGGTCTTTCTGCATGGAGTTTACATGTTCTCCCTGAGTACTCCGGTCTCCTCCCACAGTCCAAAATCATGACTGTTAGGTTAATTGGCTTCTCTAAATTCTCCTTAGGTTTGGGTGATTGGTTGTGTCTGTGTCTTCCTGAGATGGACTGGCAACCTGTCCAGGATGGACCCCGCCTCTCACCCGTAGACAGCTGGAGCACCCCTTGCCACCCCAGCTGGAATAAGTTGGACAGAAAATAGATGGATGGATGGTTTTGGTGACATCTTGTCACCTGAGACGGAGGAATGTCTGCTAAATCTGTTAGCCCAATGATCCAGTGCAAGATAAACAGTACAAGATAGACAAAACACATACTTGGGAAGCATTTTTGGTTCCTTTAATGTTTATTTATTCATCTTATTAAATAAAGCATGTCATGAAACAACAGGAAGCATATTTTTAATGTAATTACAGATTCTGACCTAAAACATGCCTCAGCTAAAAGAGAACAGAAAGGAAAAGAAGTTCAACAAAGTAACGTCTCACAATAATGGATTCAAATGTAAAACAAATGTTTCACGGTTGGTTCAGAACATCGCTGTTGGTTTAAATCTTAAAGCTCCATCAAATTAAAAGGTCATACTTTGGACATCTGAACCTAAGTGTGCAAAACAAATCAATACTCTGGTAATCCAGAGCCTTTGAGATGGGCTTCTCCTTTTTCCCCTCAACCTTCCTTCTGCAGCATCTGTCTTATTTTAGCATCTCTTCACGGAGAACCAGAACCCTACAGCTCTGTGGCAGCGGTCTCACCAAAGTACTGGTTATATATCTCTGGGTGGGATAAATAAAACTGTCTGAGGAGACGTCTTCTCTCCTTTGCCGACATCTTGTTATCCAGGTGAATGTTGTTCAGCAGTATCCATAATTCCTGGTTTGTGTTCTTCTTTAAAGAGTCGACGCCGATGGAGGCCTGCAGACCAAGAGAAGCGCCTGCAGGACAGACTGAAAAAAGCAAAAGATGGAAAGTCTTTATGAAGGTCAGTTTTTAAAACCTTTTGACTAAAACGTCAGAGGGAAATTAAACCAGCAGTGGTCAGATGAAGGACGGTAATCACAGGTTTTGAAAATGAAGCAAGAGGCTGGATAAAGAAGAAAGATCTTTGTTAAAATATTATTATAGTCTGAATTTTTCCTTGGCATTAGGCACCGGTCTGAGAAAAATTTCCATCATTTTCAGTTCTAAACTAAGGCTGGGCGTATGTCTGCAGCCTCTGGTGTTTGTTCTGCTCCCACCTTTTTCATTCGCTCTGAACCCTTCTTACTTCTTGGATCAGCAGATTGAGACGTTTCATCTCTCTTGTGTTTTTTTTTTATTTTCTGTCTTCGGTATAATAATTCCTGACTTTTTGAGTCCGATGCTAAAGCTGACAACAGTCACTGCTGCCTCCCTCTGGTTTGAGGGAAACTGATTGATCTGCCAAATTTGAAAAAGAATCCTTTAAAATAAATACTTTACCTGGAATATAATGTGGATCATAAATAAAATTTAAAGGACAAGTCCGGTCACATTCAGAATTCAAACTTCTGAAAGTACTTTAAATATGAAATTATTCCATCCTGTTCAATAACTGATCAGTGTTTTTAATTAAGAGTAATTTTCATTTAAATGTGCTTTACTGGAGGCATCCATGTTTGTCAAAGAACACTACTGCCACCTACTGGTTTGTGACGTCACGGTGCGGTATCGGCTGTTGATCAAGTCCCAGAGCTGTATCTGGTGTTTGTCACAACGCGCTATTATCCAAGTCATCTTGAAAACATTCTTCTTCCAAATGTTGGCTACATATTACGTGTTTTTTCTCTGGCCAGAAGTTCGATGGCAAATCCTCCCTCTTCAAGTTGGCGATCCAACGACCAACCCGTCCGTGGAGGATCAGGAATCAGAAAGGTGGAATAACTCTTTTTTTTCCCTTTTACCCGATGTATTCCAGCATCCAGCTGCCATGCACGTGGGCATTGTCAGTTTCACTATAGCTCTGGTGAATTTCAATGGTGAAGTCCTCTGGAAATCTTCAATAATTGTTGTTGATTGCAGATGTGTCTAGTAGTTCCCATTGATTTAGCTTGGAAAGCGGGGAGAATGGCGCTAGGCTTACCGCACCGTGACGTCACTGCTGGAAGATGGCAGGAGGGAGGGGTTACTATATTTGGGCAAAAATGGCCGCTCCCAGACTCAGTGATCGCGAAGAAAATTTTTTAAATTTTTTTACGATTAACGCCAAGTTCATTTACAGTTTTTCTCAAATGCTAAAACACAAAAGCCAATCCTCTAAACCAAATGGCCAGTTGTCTAAACACATTTACTAAATCTAGCCATCATTTTCCAATATCATAAACACATTTCACATGAAGACACAATTCACAAAACACAATCCTCCATTCACATAAATCAAACAAATTTTTCCTTGCTAAAACACAAGTTGCAAATGAACTCTGCTCATATTCTCAAATGAAAGCTCATGTGATGCAAAATGCTTGCCACAGTCAGCAATATTTGAACAAAATTAACATACCTGGCATCATTCATTACACACAACGACTCAAAATTTGAAAACACCTGTTGCTAATGCTGTGACCACATGTATAAAAGCAAGTTCAGAGTGCACAGTTTGCTGAAGATTCCAAACAAACACAATGGATGAAGGCAGAGTCAGGGGAAGAGGTAATCGCGTCAGAGGAGGGAGAAGAGCTGGCCAAGGAGGAAGAGGAGCAGGCCAGGGAGGAAGAGGAGCAGGCCAGGGAGGAAGAGGAGCAGGCCAGGGAGGAAGAGGAGGAGGCCAAGGAGGAAGAGGAGCAGGCCAGGGAGGAAGAGGAGGAGGCCAAGGAGGAAGAGGAGGAGGCCAACAAGGGAGAGAAGGTCCAGGAGGGAGAGCAAGACAACCTCGTACCATCATTACGGACGAGATGCGAGCAACAGTCATTGACCATGTCATTGTCCATGGCATGACAATGGCTGAAGCAGGACTAAGAGTCCGTCCAAACCTGAGTAGGTTCACCGTGGCCACCATTATCAGGACATTCAGACAACACAACAGGTATTGCACTCTATTGCTTTCTTTGTCACAATACAATTTTACAAGCCTGTGAAAGTAGTCTATTACAGTAGTTTCAAATCAGTTGTTACTGTATTGTAAAACATGTCAGTTGACGACACGTTTCTTTCTTTAGAGTTGAAAGAATGCCACATAGAGGTGGGCGGGTTGCCATATTTACAGCGGCACAAGAAACCCCCACTGTGGATATGGTTCGTGAGAACAACCTCATCAGACTCCGGGAGATCAGAGTCATTGACGATAATATGAACTTTGAGGGCATTGATGATGTCAGCTTGGCCACAATAGACCGAGTTCTCCGGCACCAAAAGATGCAGATGAAACAAGTCTATAGGGTTCCCTTTGAGCGAAACTCTGCACGACACAAAGACCTACGTTACGAGTATGTGCAAGTAAGTATACATCCATGTTCACAGTACAGTTAGTAAACATACTGTGTTGCTCAGTGGCCTACATTACTTCTGGACAATACAGTACGTAATATGCTACCTGATTGACTATTGCTCTGAACACCTGTGCACTTTCACATTTTCACAGAGGATATTACAGTTGGATGCGATGGCCAGACCTCATGAGTACCTCTTCCTGGATGAGGCTGGCTTCAACCTGCACAAACGAAGGCAAAGAGGCCGTAACATAATTGGCCAAAGAGCCATCACTGAGGTTCCTGGCCAACAGGGGTGTAATATTACTCTTTGTGCGGCCATGGGTTTGGAGGGGCTTGTCCACCGGCAGGCTGTCCTTGGGTCTTACAACACCCAACGTCTCCTAACCTTCCTAGAGGAGCTAAAAGATATCCTCCTAGACTGCCAACAACACCATCCTGGGCCCGAACATCCCATTTATGTGATCATTTGGGACAATGTACGCTTCCACATAACAAACCAAATCAGTGAGTGGTTTACCACCGACAGTAACCACTTTTTAAACGTCTGTCTGCCACCCTACTCCCCTTTCCTGAACCCTATAGAGGAGTTCTTCTCATCGTGGAGATGGAAGGTTTATGACAGACAACCATACACTAGAGAAAACCTCCTAAGGGCAATGGAGCTGGCATGTGTTGACATCCCAGTGGAGAACTTCCAAGGATGGATCCGCCATTCCAGCGCATTTTGGATGAGGTGATGTAGCCTGATGCAGCTCAGCGACATGATGCCGCACAGTGATTGTGGTGTAAATACTGTAAAATGAATTAAAAAAAACTGCACACCCTGATCATGTTTTCAAGAGTACTGTTGTGTGCAATAGATTCTGCTTTTGCAGTGAGTTGTGTTACAGTAGTGTACAGAATTTACTATAGATTAATACCCTTAATATGAAACTCACAAATCTAAATACCCAATCCTCTGCAGAACTCTAAGAAGATCCATAATTGTAAAGTTTCTAAAAATATGCATTGGCAGTAAAGAAACAAAGAACCTTCTCACAAATTGAGCATTGTGTTTTCAATTGTTTTGCTGTAGTGTGTAATGATGTGTATAGTGTTTACATTTTTGAAAGCTTCGAGCTGCTCTTTTGGTGTAAAAGTTTGAGTTTTGGAGGGAGAAGGTGTGGTTGTGTTTATGTAGCTTTAGAAAAGGGTGTTGTGTTTAGACATTGAAGAACATGGACGAAACGTTTGCGAAATATGTTTTAGCATTTGAGAAAAACTGTAATCACCGCAAACGTATTTGTTTTATATGACAGAGTATTAGGGCCAGGCTAGAGATATTTTTTCTTCTATTTCGAGAATAAAGTCATCATTAAACAACACATTTCAGAAAGAAAGCTTGGAGCTCCGCCCAGCAGATGACGGCCGACCAGCTCCACCAATCAGCAACCAGAGTCCACTTTGACATCCTGCCCAGTTTGATGCTGCTGCTAAAAGATTTCCACATTTGTCAAACCGATGCCAAAGTAGAACTACACATGATGCTGCACATTCCTCATTTTAGGGAAAAAAGTGCTTCTTGTTAGAGTTGTCATAAAATGCAACTTGTTTCTCATAATTTCATGACTTTATTTTCGAAATAGAATGAAAAAAATCTCTAGCCTTGCCCTAATACATCGTATTTGTATTAGGGCAAGGCTTTTGTAGGTATAAATAATGATCCATTGATTATTCTTTGCTGACCGGACTTTTCCTTTAATGGGTTGTTTGTCTGTAGGTAGGAGGTAAAAAACAAAAAGATTAAAATCTGTTCTGAACTTTTCAAGTAATCCTCAATATGGACAAACGCAGCTGAAAACAAATCGCAGATGCACTGCAAAAAAAATTTAATCTTAAGTCATTTTTTCTCAAAATAAGTAGATTTTTTCTTAAACTAAGGAGGTACTGAAACACTTTGCCAATGAAACAAAACAATTTACATCTAAAATAAGAAAAAAATTATTGCATCGTCTTATTTCAAGTGCATAATATTTAATGTTATTTTAAAAATAAAAAAGAAAAGAAAAAATATCATCCCATTGGCTGATCATCTTATTTACCTACTCAAATTAAAGGGAAATATTTTTAATATAAGAAATGTTACTTATTTCTAGATTGTTTTTGCAGTGTGTCATTAGAAGTTTGTCAATAATAGTTTTGCAGAAATGTATGGATAAATAAAATATCATGAAACTGATGTAAACAAAAGTAGGAAATAAGTGAAATACGTATCATTCTGCTTAGAAAATGTTGATTTACAGTCAGATCTGTTGTTTTTAGGTATTTTTTACCTGTAACTTCAGAGCTTGTGCCCTGAGAGAGGCTGTGCAGCTTCTCACTGATGACTTTAAGCAAAGAGCCTGGTGTCTGAAACAGGAGAAACCAACACAACTCAAATCACACATTTAGATTTTGCTCAAGATTTATTACTATTTTTACAGTTAAAAAAAAAATAACTTGGGTAGATTAGCTCTGAAATAGAAACGATTCAAGCAGAATAAAGGGGCCGAAACCAGTCAGTGCGAGATTTGATAAAGAAACTATTTAGGAATGTTTTAGTTACGTTTATTTGAAATGAAATACATTTTCCGATGAATGGAGAGAAAATACGTAAAATTTAAGAAATGAGAAGAGAAGCACTGGAAAAAATCAAAATCTAGATAAGTCATTTTTCCTTAAAATAAGTGCATTTGTTCTTGGATTAAGAAGGTAAAAGCGAAATTTTGCCAATGGAACAAGACAATTTACACTTAAAATAAGAAAACACAATTGTATTGTCTTGGTTCAAGTGCATATTATCTAATTAACATATTTTAAGAGTAAAAACACTCATCCAATTTGCAAACTTTCTCATTTAGCTACTCGAATTAAGGATAAATACACAAAATTTAAGACATTTTTACTTATTTCTAGATTGTTTTTCCAGTGAGCTTTGTAAACCTTCCGAAAACTTAAAGAACTATTGATCAAATCCGCTGGAAATGTTTAAAGGAAACTCTTGGAGGGAAAACATGAGGAATATAGGCCTGAATTAAACAATTTACAGCTCTGTGTATCAAATCAAAATGGCTTAATCACTTTACTGAAATGACTTGATGCCAACTTTCAGAAGATTTTCTGTACAGTCAGTCTACAATCTGGGTTTTTGTGATTAACGATGTATAATTAAGGCATCGATTTTTGTTTTGGGTGTCATTTTAAAGATGAAAGCGTCACTTCAAACTCTGAGCTCGTCTGATGGGAAAATACCACCTTAAATATTTCCTCTATGTTGCTCAGCATGAAGACCAGCAGCAGATCCTCCTTCTCCTTTGGGAAAGTCTTGCTGTGAAGTATCGCCTTGCAGAAGGACTTCTTTACAGCGAGCCTGTTCTCCATCTGCAGACAAACCTTCATATCAGTTAACAGACCAACAGATTTCCATCTCTGCATATTGCTTTGCTTTCACCATGTTTAAATGGACCCTTTCAAAACAGAACCTGTCCAGTTTTCACCTCCTTGTCCACATTCACCGCCTTCGGTTCAGCTGCTGATGACATGAAGGTCAACAACCTGCGCAGCTCTTCTCTTCTGTTAGGGGCAAGTAGCTTCAGACACAGCTGCAGAGCCTCCAGAGCCTTATCCAACTTTGCATTCACTGTAAAACATCAGAATGAACAGAACATTTAGATTTCTCTTATTTCATATATGATTTATCCCATTTACTCTCTATTAAAGTTTTTCACTCAGTCAGTTTCACCTGCAAGGCCACACAACACCTGAGTGAGGGGTGTTTGTAGATAAGGCATACTTATTCCCATAACAAGCCAGATTCTTTCTCACAATTTATTCATAACATGTTACTGTTTAACCAAAGTTTCTGTAAGTTGTTTTGACTCTGACTACTTTCCATTTTTGTAAGTAAGGGGAATGACTGCGGTCCAGATCGGAACAGGGCTAATTACTCTAAAATAAGTGCCGTATGATGAACTATTCTCTCTTTGCAAAGATAAAATAAAGCGCCGACTGAGAGAAAAATCCATCGATCTCCGTTTATTTAACTGGAGTAAATGGTTGAATACTTGTTTCCCCACTACAAAGAACCATAGCGACCTCCAACCAGCAGGCCCCTGCTTTCATACCCAGCAGGTCGGTGATGGCCGCGTGGACGTCCGTCATGTTCTGCGGCAGGAGAGGAGACCTGGCTGTGTCGCTGTAGTGTCTGACCAGAGTCCTGTACAGCTGCAGCTTCCACTGGGCCAGACTGGGAGTGAGACCAGTTTGATCATCACTGCTGGGACCTGCAGCAGACAGGCTGAGCGTTTAATGAGGTAATTATTGCTGAGGTTTACTTTCAGCTGTGTTTTTGGCCAAAACTGGACTAATTAGGCAAGGCAAGTTATTTGTATATCACAAGCACTTTGAATTGACTTTGAACTGAACTGGGATTCCCAGTTCAGTTCAAAGTCAATTCAAAGGGCTTTACATGAATTAAACACTTGAATTAGGGGTGCCAGGGACATGTTAATATTACCCGTTTGTCATTTGTGAGTCTTTACTTCTGAAACTTTTATTGTTTGTTTAATTACTACATGGTGATTTTTTTTTCTCAAAACACTCCCATTTTGCACAAAGGAAATGTTTAACATTTTGTTTTCATCTATCTGATGCACCTGTTCCTGCTAAATAAAAATAATTGTGACAAATATTTAGAGTCCCACCCCCCAATCGTCTGATATGTTATATGATGCAAGAACTTGCCTCCATCTTGAATGCTGCTACCTTCCTGTGGTTGTTGCTCATCGCTCTCCTTTTCTGGACGGAAACAGGGAGGCAGCTCTCTGCTCAGCTCTGCCACCAGCTGGTCAGGCAGGAAGTCCAAACAGTCCAGAGCTCTGGAGAGCCACTCATCGCTCCTGAGAAACACAGACGACCTAAATTCTAAACTCCATCTCTGACCATCTGATCAGTAGGAATTTTACTCCAATTAGACCTACTGGGAGTCCCTGAAGGCCTTTAGGATCCATCTGTCCAGCTGGTTATTGCTGGAGATCAGGTCGGGCTTACCATGAGCCACCATGCTGGTTTGAGGGGGTGCGGGGGGGTTCTGACAGCACTGGAGAACTCCTTCCAGCAGGGGGAGCTCAACAATTTGTAAGAGCCTGAGCAGGGTCTGCTCCTGACACACCTCATTAACCACTGAGAAGGAAAAACAGACCAATCAATCCCTCAAGAAGACAAATTAAAGTTCTACGTTTGTTTTATTTCTAGATACAAGAGAAAATAGTTACTAAGATGTGTCGCCGTTTTCCCAAAGTCTGATGGAAGACCAAAATGTCGAAGACACAGACGTCCATCCCCGCGAACACTGGGACGGAACTCAATGGGAAAGCAAAGGATTCTGATTTCTGATTTCAACCGTTGCGAATATTAGCTGCGACATATGATTCAAGATGATATGAACGAAAAAATTTGATTGACAGATGACCGTTGATATATGATTGGCCGAATTTAGGTGTTCAGGCTGACGTAGAACTAACTGGCCTGCAGAAGATAACAAAAAAAAAAAAAAATTTTAAAAAAGGATTTTTTTTAAATAGAAATGTTCTAAATTTTGGGACAATATGGTCTGACAAAGAGTACATTTAGGCTACGTTCACACTGCAGACTGAAGTGACCCAAATCAGATTTTTTTTGCCCATATGCGACCTGGATCTGATCTTTTCATGGCAGTCTGAACAACACAGATCCGATTTTTTCCAATGCCCAGGCCGCTTGGCTATGTGGTCCTGAATCCGATATGAATCTGATCTTTTCAAATGCGACTCGTGTCTAAACGGCCAGGTCGGATTCATCCGACCTGAACGCCACTAATACCCGACAAAGGTAAAGATTCTGGGTCTTGCTATGAAGAAGTGGCAAGAAAAACAACAACCATGGCAGACAATGATGCTGAGAGCAGTATTTATGTTTAACCATATTGAAAAGATTGTGTTTTTATGGTTGGAAAAGACCGCTAGATGCGCGCCGGAACTACCATCCATGTTTACTTCCGTAAACACAGAGCACGCTGGCATGTGACGTCATTGCGTCCTCTACTGCGCATGCGGGATCCTTGCGTTGTATGACTGCAGTTCACACAGGAGATAACATACTAGTCGCATATATTTGGAAATATGAACGGCAATGCAAAAAACAATCGGATTTCACAAAAAAATCGGAATTGAGCATCAAGGCCTGCAGTGTGAACGTAGCCTTATATACATGTTTGAGCCAGAATGATTTGACATTTAAATATAATTTCCTGATGACTTTAAAAGTCATTAGGATATACAATTCTACGGAGTAAGCATGAGCATTCAAATAAATAATAAAAGTCAAGAAGCCCCTTCAGCCACAGCTCCTGGAAGCAGGAGGCCCAGAACACAGCCTGGTGGGATTCCAGGTCACCAGCCCATCTTAGGATGGTAGAAAACCTCCCAGACCTTTCCTCTTCACCCTCCCTACATGTCTGGGTTTGTCTGGCAGCCTTGCCTCACCCACAGGAGCTACTGTTCTAATACCAACCAACATTGTCCAATGCCTCACCCAAAATGAAGACATTTTGCAATAATACAAAAAAGCCAAACTTCTTTTCCTAAAGCAAGCTTGTTTTGGTAACTTAGGTCAATTGGATATAGATCTGTAAATATTGGATATGGAGGTGCTCCAGGTGGTGGAATGGGAGGGGTCCCTCAGAGGATCTGCTCCAACATGAAGACAGGAACATGGATAGAGGCTCTGATCAGGTTTAAGAGCTGCTGTGTGGGTGAATAAAACCATCTGCATGTGCGTGAAAAACTGAAAACAAAAAGCACACATATGCAGTTAGCTTACAGGACTGTGGTAAAGCTGGGTCCTTCTGCTCTTTGCTTGGACCGTCCACTGGATACTCCGTCGTCCCCTTAGTGGTGAAACCAGACCTGAGGTGGCAGATCTTCTCAGGTGTCTTCAGAACTGTGGCAGGGATGGACATGTCCACCTGTTTTCCAAGCCTGAGAAGTTACACACAGATATGATGGACAGTACTCTGTCTGATGGAGACATTCTACATGTGATCTGAAAGCGTAGATATACACATCCAGAGTTAGCTTTAGCTATCAGGGCTGTTTCAAGGAATTTGGGGGCCCCAAAGTGTTACAACCCTTGAGGTGCATACATACATGCATGTATGTGTGTATATATATATATATATATATATATATATATATATATATATATATATATATATATATAAAAAGCTAAATATCAACATTAACCGTCCGTTTTCTACAAGTAGAATAACCGTTTATTTGTCTAAAATCTCTATGAAAGTCATTTTTTAGGATTGTTCCTTTTGTCCTCCTCTGCCCTCAGATCTTAATAAAAAGATAAAAATAAGCTGAGACTATTTTGTCACCTTGTTAAATGTCAGAGCTCAGTCTGTCTTAGAAGGCAGCAATTTCCTTACAGACTGACAATGATTGTTTTGTACTTTCGGCTACTTTAGATCGCAAATGAAATGTAAAATAATAGTAAATAATGGTAATAATATGTTGAGACATATGTTGATTGTTCTCACTAGAACTAAGACAGCTGAGCACATCAGCCTGGTTCTGAAGTTCTTCCACTGGCTCCCTGTCGCTCAGAGAATAGACTTTAAAATTCTAGAAATCCCAGAATAGATCAGCATCTTAATCCATCACAGATCTGGTGTCAGTGAATCAACCTCCCAGACCACTCAGGTCTTCTCGTTCCATTCTGTCCATCCAGAACTAGAACCAAACATGAAGAAGCAGCATTAATTCCTGTGCTCCAATGATCTGGAACAAACTCCCTGGAAAAGTGATGAAAGCCTGAGTTTTTAAGTCTAAGTTAAAAACCAAATTGTTTAGAAGTGTGTAGAGCTATTTTCTTTCCCCCGAAGCTGTAGTTTATTTTCTTTGTGCGACGGTTGATTAACTAATTCACAAAAGTAATTTAAAATACTTGTGAGTATGTTTATTTTCCTCCCGGAGGTTTTGATATTAATATGACGCGATACCATGATGCTTACTGTTTAGATTTGACAATGAGGTCTAGAGGGACAAGCCTTAGGTCAAATGAAGTAAAAAAATAAAATAAAAAAAGGTTGAGTTGACAAACAGCAACAGAAGTTCTACAACTTTTCAATTTAGTTTCAATTGAGTTTATTTCTATAGCGCCAAATTCACAACACATGACATCTGAAGGCACTTTACAATTCAACTCAATCATACTGAAATAGTGTTTTCTATCTAATGAAAACCAGTTGACTGCATTGACTCATTGACTGGAAAGCAATCTTGCACACTAAGCAAGCTTGTAGTGACAGTGGAGAGGAAAAGCTCTGTTTTAACAGGGAATTGCTGTGGAAAATAACTTTTTCCACAGCAAATAATTGTTGATTTAACTTAAATATATGCCTACCCATCTGAAGGCGACCTGCAGAACAGCTCTTGGATTCCATTCATGAGTGAGCCTCGTTCCAACTCCTCAACCGAAGGTAAACGGCTGCCTGCAAACCTGTGTGAGAAGATTAAAAGTTTTCTAAAAGACTCCTCTGTCGGCACATTTAGCCCTAATTTGGGGGAAGGGATGCTCAAAATGAAGGAAACTGGATTTGCATGTTTCTCTGAGGATCTAACCTGTACAGAGCATTCCTACTGTCCTCAAAAGCATCCTGCTTCTTTTTTCTGCTGAGCACTTTTGTTCCCACGGCCTCAAACACATCACAGTCCATCAGAGCCTGGCACACACACGCCACCTTTTCCCGAGTGATGCTGGCACCTTGAGGTTTTGTTCAAACACATCACAAAAACGGATTTTTAGACATTCGAGTTAAAATTAGTTAAAATTCATTTCAAAAACACTCAACACGATTGGACAACTTTGTACGATGAAAGCCAATTCTTTGCTGAAATACAGACATAGGTCCATGAAACAGTGTTTAAAATGACCAACAGGGTGAGCAGCTGATTTTTACTGTGAATTCTGTCGAGTCCTTCAGCTTCCTGGGTACCACTATCACTCAGGAGCTCAAGGGGGAGATTCACCTCGCCGCAAAGAGGATGCTCAACCCTTACACTGTTATCACTAAGTCCATAATCATCATCCATCAAAACAATCATAGGTTCCAGTCTGGGTTGCTGCAGCCTCCATCAAAGACGAGGCCAAGCTGCAGCGGTGGCTACAACTAGGGGTGTGCAAAATAATCGTCATGATGATGCATCGTGATTCTAATTTTCATGATCTACTGCATCGATTCTTGACGCCAAGTATCGATTATTAATTCTAAAAAATGAATAAATAAAATTGCATGAATGGTTGGCGAACATCAGCCAAAAACAAGTGGAATACAACTTCCAGTCCAGCAGATGTCGCTGCGGATGTGTTGACGTACGCTGCCTTGTGTCATAAGCATTTCCGGCCGCGGGATACTGCGCCGAGTCATTCAAAACAAAACATGGAGGAGATTGAGAAACTTCGTCCGGCTCCATCACATTTCAAATCCGATGTTTGGAAGCATTTTGGTTTTAAAAACAAAGGTAAAAATGAAGTTGATATGACGCACGCAATTTGCAAACACTGCTACACCAGAATTAAATACTGTGGGAACACAACGAACCTAAAAACACACATGCAGAGGCGCCATCCAGAATATCAAGAGCCGCCAGCGCCGCAAAATGTGCTTAAACAAACAACTTTCGATTGCAAGCTAGCCCTCAACGAGTTCATTTGCCAGGATTTGTGACCATATAGTGTGGTGGAGAACCGTGGGTTCAAAAAAATTATCAGCACACTGGAGCCTCGTTATATAATCCCGAGCTGAAAACAGTTCACTGAAGTATTAGTCCCACAGATTTATGATGAGGTGTTGTTATAATGGCAGCTACTTCCAAAATGTTTTCATTTCATTGAGTTGAAGGACCACTGAGGCCATGATTATCCTTATTTTGTTATTTTTAGTTTTATAAATCCTAAGCACTTTTTGTCAATGTGTCCACTCCAGAAATAGTAATATTTGTGTCCAGTTACAGTAATACTTGTTTTTATGGCAACATCTCCAAAAGTAATTTCAATAAATACAGCTATGTATGAATGCAGTTGCTTTCAGTTATTTATCAACTGGAAGACACTACCCAGATCATACTCAGCCAGTCAGTCACTGGTAATGGCTGTATTTTTTTCTAACAGTGTTCAGTGAAAATATTGCAATGCATCGCAATAATTCAAGTATCGTGATGCATCTTGATAGAATCGCATTGTGGCCTGTGAATCATGATTCGAATCGAATCGTGACTTCTTCGGCAATACCCACCCCTAGCTACAACCTCCCGTCCCTGCAGGAGGATGCTCTAAAATGTCAACATTCTGGTCCTCCAAAGAATGTCCTTTGTCCATCAGGTGTAGATGTAGCGCAGAGTCTTGTCCAGAGGAGGGCGCTCTTCTGTGTTGGGCCATGCGTCTGTGGAGAGGTTGTTTAGTTTCTACAATATAAAGATCAGAGCATTCCTCGCTGCGTTGAACTGCTCTGATCTTTATATGGAAGAAACAAAACAACCTGTCCACAGACGGAAACACAGATTTATGTGTTTCTGCTAAATGTTCTTTTTGAATAGTTTCTGGCAACAAAGCATTTTCCTGAGCAAATATTTTAAAAGCATCCTTAAACAGAATATATAGAGGAGCTGAGGAGGAGGCAGGATGAAAGCTGCAGATGTTTGGTTTCCAATGAACAGGACTTCATTATAAACATTAATGGTTTGAATAGTTCAGACTTATGTGATTATTGATTTGTTTGGACACGTTCTTAATCTACTCCTTGTTCCAGGACATGGCAGCAGGGGGCAGATTTAGGGAATTTGGGGCCCTAGACAAAGACAGGCAGGGGGCCCTCTGAATAGAGAAGACAACACATAAAACAGACCTACAGATAGAGAAATGTTAATAGAATAGACATCCATTATCTGTTCTAGGTTGTGTCCCTCTCTTCTTGTCCCTTTTCTTCTTGTTTTCCTCTCTATGTTTTGTACTCAGCTGACTTTTCATGCTGTCTCTAAAGGAATGAAAGATTTTTTCCAAGCACTAAGCTCACTTAGCTGATTGCTCCTTCCTGTGTTTCCAAAAAGGCCAAAGTAAATAACCCAGTCCTTCTTTTCACTGTAGACAAGCCATGATCTGCTTCTCTGTTCTCCATTTTTCATTTGGATGAAATAATAGCTGCATGAATCATGACAGCAGACAAGATAGAGGAGAGCAGGAGGCGGGGTTACCAATCTACTTGCTCTGGAGAGCAGAGTTCGCTGCTTTTAGATGTTGTCTCCAAAGTCTCCAGTAGCAGAAAAAAGTCGCTAGATTTGGCGCTAGGAGCTTTTTAGAAATCAAAGTGCTAGAGGGGTCTGAAAAGTGGCTAAATATAGCGACTAAAGCGCTAAGTTAGCAACACTGCTCTTTGCATGGTTTGTTTTCAAGTCTGTTTGGACCTTTCTGAACATGTGCAGCAAATGGACTGATCCAATATGGTGGACACTGATGGGGGGGGGGGGGGGGCTGAGACACACTTATTATAAGTGTTCTGATGGCATTTTAGCGAAAGGATCTTTATCAAAAACATAATTAATGTGCACAAATAAGAAATAGCTGTATTAACCAAACATGTAAACAGAGTTTTATGGGGCCCCCAGGAACTTGGGGCCCTAGGCACCTGCCTAGTATTGCCTAATGGTAAATCCCTGCCTGCATGACAGCATAACGAAGAGGTGGCAGGTCTAACAACTGGAGGGAAACAAACTCACTCACCCTCAAATCCCTCAGCTTTGGTAATATGTTCTATCAGAACATCCACGGCCTCTGATCCGAGGAAACAGTCGCTGTGGGACCTGAGGTGGACCAGGCGGCGCTTCACCGTCACATTAGACCTAAAGTGGGAGATGAGGCTGCTCCACATGGACGACGCCTGGGTTGGTTTAACAGCCACTATTGGAGCTGAGAGGAAAAAAGTACCACAGGAACAAGGTATTTTTTCCATTATGCAAAATTTCATGTAATCATTTATTTTTTAACTATAAAAAAGATATAATGAAGCTTGAATAATTAATCATATATTTTCCTGTCCTAATATAGGACTGATTTATGTAACATTGAAATCAAAGCTCCTAGAACTATACAGAAAAGTATTCTTTCAATATTTAGCATAACTTGAAAAACTCGATGACAAAAAAGGAAAAGTTGTCAAAAAACAAAAGTTTTGATTAAATTTCTAACGCCGATTTTTTTTACTGCAAAAAACTATAGGAGCTCATGGAAAAGTGCAGCAAAGTAAATGTTCAGCATTTTGCCTAATATTACTTAAAAATGAAAATGCAATGATTGAATTTCTAACAACATACAGCAGCTCCTGGGAATGTGTGGCGAGTGGACTTTCCATAAATTAGGTCAGTTTGAGACACTGGTGAAAATAAAACAGTAATTATTGTTTAAAAGCATGTTTGGACTTAATTTGTACGTCTGGAAAAAAAGCCGCTTTAATAAGGCTGTAAAATAACTAAAGTGGAAAGGCTCTGTGAATACTTTACAGACGCATTGCATCTATGGAATATTATCTCAATAAAAAAACCATATAGTATCAGATTTAATGTAAAGAAAAATAGATCCAAACAATATTAGTTTTACTTTTAGCGCCGTTCTGTTAACATTAAAAAGCTTTGAACCTACATTTGTTTTAAACATCTTAAAACTTTCTCTATAGTTATGAGGAACCATTGTGGAAGCTATAGAGAGCAGCAGATTTCAGTCCACTGAGCTGATGTTTAAGCGGTTAATGTCCGCCGTGTTTCAGGAGTCTTTACATTAAACACATTAACATGCCGGTTGTCTCACATGTCCTGGATCTCTCTGTATGAAGCTTTGACTCCAGCTGTGGTGGACGTTTTCTTAACCGTCTCAGAAACTCTCATGTGGGCTTTTCTTCACATCTAGATCCTGCAGTTATCCAAGTTACTTTTCACCGTTTTTCTACTAGTTTTTCCCTCCACTCAATTTTCCATTAGGACATCCAGAAACTGCTCTCAGTAAAACTCATCTTCTTTATCAATTACCCTGATTAGGGGTTTAAAATGTCTGTCTATCTTCCTCCCTTTTTTTGCCATTTTCTTTCTTTAAAAGTATATATATTTTTTATTTTGCTTGATGAAAATCCAAATGTTTTAAAAGCTGCAGGTTTTATGGGCTGTAAACTATGATCATCTGTCTGCCTCAGCAGATGGCCGCTCACACTGAGCCTGGTTCTGCTGGAGGTTTCTTCCTGTTCAAAGGGAGTTTTTCCTCTCCACTGTTGCTACAAGCATGCTCAGTGTGAGGGATTGCTGAAGAGTCAATGAGTCAATGCAATCAGCTGGTTTTCCTTAGATAGAAAACTTTGAATCAATCTGACTGGATGATCGGGTGAACTGGAAAGTGACCTGAGATGACATGATGTGAATTGGAGCTATAAACTGAATTGTTAATCTAAATTAACAAACCCTGTAGGAATATGTAAGTGTATGTTTAATGAAGGTAGTAGTTTATTTTTTTAATCAAATGACTAGGATAAACCTTTAGGGATACTTTCATCAAATAAACACTTGATTTGTACAGTTAGAGAAGTCAGAGCTGAACTTATTGTTTGGACAAACTTCAGGTTTTGGCCTAAGGCAGAAAAACATTGAAACCTCTTCATACTCATAAAATTTAAACAACCTTCTCCTTCATTGATGTCATTAAACATGACAGAAAGGCCCCTGGCCGTGTAGAGAGGCCTCCTGCAGCTAACAAACATCCATAGGAAGCCTAAAAGTTGCTCATTAACTCACCTTGAGGACGAACACACAGTTTCTCTGCTAGATTCAAGGCAGCAGCTCGCTCCTTGATTGATGACATGTTTCTGAGAAGTTAGACCCGCTGCAGGAGAACCTAGAGCTGTGGAGGAGAAATGCTCAAACACGTTGAGACTAAATACAAAACAAAAACCCTGTGGGTGTTATACGATATTTAGCCAGTAGATGGCAGCAGATACAGAGTAATCTTAAACCTGCAGTGAAGGAACTCAGGTTTGCAGCTGATCGTTAGAAATGGGAGCTATTGACAGGTGCTCAGTCTGTTCAACCAGACCCCCCCCCCACTACTAACACTTCATTACCTCACTCTGTTCAATCAGACCCCCCACCACCACTAACACTTCACTATCAGCTCTCACTTACAATAAAGTCACACTCGCAGCTGTGGAAGGCCCCTTGATTAAAGCCCAGCGCCCATTGATCTATTTATTCACTGGATCGCTGATTGCCCGTTGGTAGTACGGGGTTTAGGTGAGGCCACCGGCCGCCATATTGGTACTCCCTAGTTAGACTGCTCGCAATGTAAACAATCTTTGAGCTACAGCATCGAATAACGATGATGTTCTCATTTTCAGGGAGCCTACGACTTTTAAAATAAAGATAAATTCATTACTTTGACAGACTGGCTGTTTCATAGCATCAATAGATAACTTTAACTAAGAATAAAAAAAAATATATATATAGGCCCATTACATTGCAGAGTCATTATGAAGTTAATGAAGTCTATAAATCATCTAATATAACATATTATACAAATCAATCCAACAAAATTAATGTTAATGGAGCAGAATAATACAGGTGTGCCAAAAGTGATAAATTGATGTTGTACATAATAATATAAATATATTTATTATATTGTTATGGAAATTACATCTTACATGTCTGATAATGCAGACTATATATATATATATATCTATATATATATATATATATATATATATATATATATATATATATATATATATATATGTATATATATGACACAGTGGCTTCACTTTTTTCGGGCATATTGTATCGAGATATCTCATTATTTTGAGTTACTATCTCATTATAATGCGATAGTATGTAGGTTTTTGAAAGCCATGCATAAAATGCAGCGATAGAGTTGATCCCTTCCCGCTATCATCACAACCTCAACCAGGGGAACAGAAGACCTCACCTATTCAGCCAGACCAACAATTTCCTCAAATGACCCCCTTTCAGAGACATAGACAGGTATGGGGCATTGCAGGCTAACAAAAGAGGCCAAACGACCCCCATTCTATTTGCATGTTTTCTAAACAAAAACCAGGCTTTATTGGGCTATTGTATAAAACCTGGAAAACAACACTATTTCTGACATTTTGAATTGAAAAAACTTCCTGGATGGGAAGAGAAACGTCTTCAAACTTGGAAACACAGTCCAGTGGATTGTTTTTTTTTTTTTTTTTTTACTTTCTTGGAATGACTTTGACCTGGATGAATGAGAATCTTCACTAGCTTAAAATCTTCCCCTTTTACAATGCGACCAGATGATGGTAATGACACAGTTCAACCAGCAGGTGGCACTAGATTAAAACACTGGAACAGATTCATTTCCCCATTAGGTTCAGGATGGATTGTTGACTAATTCAAAATGAAACCTGATTTTTTTGTTGAGTTTTCCTCATAGCTGCTCAGACTGATCCAGATTCAGGTTTTACTCAAAAGGAGTTTTCTTCCTATAAGAATGAAGTGGCTGATCTACATTGTAATCAGACTGTAGCTCAGCTTAAAAAGTTCTAGTTGTGTTTTAGATTCAGCTGAATTAGTTTATGCTGTGTTTAGGCTGGACTTGGTCTAATTTTGAATGGTTGATCTGTATGTGGTTGCATTTAAAAGAATGGCACCTGCTGTGTTCAGGACAAATTGGACCCATTTTGTTTTTACTAAAGCTTCTGTTTAGAAATACAAACAGACGGGGAGCCAAACCGCCAGTGTGTTTGAAGACAGAGGTTTCACAGATGTGCTGCCAATTTCTCTCATGATGTGGTGCTGATGATTTATGACATATAAACTTTAATTTTACCTCAAACTGGTTAAGTTTACCAGTTTACCTTTTTTCTCTCTTGCCCCGTTGGTTTCTTGTAACCAAGAGACACATCATCTCCATTGCTTTTGGTCTACGGTTCCGTTACCAGGGCCACATCACCCCACACGGACTGGTGAGGTATCCATGGAAACCTCACCATTGTTTGGTGACTGCTAATGGTGTGATTCAGCAGAACACATGCAAACCAGGGCCCAGTGCCGTGTGCTGGTCACCACGGCAACCAGTATGGGGGTAAGGTGGGTGTAGCTGTGACTCAGCTTGTTGCCGGGTGAATCAGGCCGAACTGAGAGTGTGAGTTTATCTTCTGCTTATTCCAGAACGGAGCTGTAAGATGTGGGCAACAGAACGCCGCCTGGATGTTAATCATCTCAGGGTCAGGTTACCATGGCAATAACAACACACCACCCAGAGCAAATAAACTGGGAGTCATAGGAACTACAGCTGCATACATCAAAGGTTTATAAAGTTAATTAAATGCACCTGAATCATTTAAATGCACCAATTAAAGCAGAAATTTTCATCACTTATTGTAGATGGATAAACATGATGACAGACTGTTTAAGTTGATCCTGGGATGTCTTCCAAAGGCTTATAAGAAATACTTAAATCATTAACCTGCATTATTCTTAATTTCTGTTGTGTAGAGTGAGAAATAAAAAGTTTGGAAGCTGTGGGTGAATAGGATTTTTTCCTCCATGTTTTCCAGAGATGGACTGGAGTGATAATCACATGCGTTTCTTTATCAAAACATGCAATCAGATCATGAAGGTTTGCACCGCCGTGCTGGGCTGACATGATTATCTGCATGAACACAGAACAGCTTCTTGTCTTGGACGCCTGATTTGGTAAAAGTTGGTGTTTTTTTTACACAGAACCAGATAAATTTAACCTTGATGATTCAATGGAAGCGTGATGACACCAATGCAAAAGAATATCTCCATTTGAAACTCTCACATCAGTAGCAACAACCTTTTGTGCCCATATCCATGATGCTGCTCAAAGTCAGGGGGGGGGTTTACCATTAGGCAATACTAGGCAGCTGCCTAGGGTCCCAAGTTCCTGAGGGCCCCATAAAATTCTGTTTACATGTATGGTTAATACAACAATTCCTTGTTTGTGCACATTAATTATGTTTTTTATAAAAAAAAAAAAAGTGTCCTGTCTGGTGATGTGGCAATAAGAATAATTGTCTTGATGCCAAAAAAGAGCCAAACAGATTTTACTTTCCCCAGTGGAGCAGTACTGCTATCGCCATAGTGTTCCGCTTGTTTTATGCATATAAATAGCTTTGTTATAATTATGCAGGGAGTTTTACAGATTATATGGACACTGCAATGTAAGTAGAACAGGAAAGGAAAAAATTGAAAAAAAAGAAGAAATGATGAAAGAAAGAGGAGATAAAAGGGAGATAAAGATAAAACATCTTCAGTCTGCATCATCACCTGCAAAGAGATGTAAAAAGAACAGCACAACCAACGGACATGGTACAAGATATACAGTAATGTAACACCTTGATACTATCCCTGAAGTATAAGTAGTATTATTTAATCTTGTATGTATTCTGTGTTACCTGATAAAAAAAATCCCTTTGCTAAAATTCCATCAAAACCCTTATAATATTAAGTTTGTCTATAGGCTTAGACTGCTGGAGGACATAGGGACCCCTATTTTATCATTCTGCTTCATTCTATCTCTATTCTCCCACTCTGCAGAATCTTTTAGTTCAATTCTAACATTCTGCTCTCATGGATGATCCGTTTGATCTCTGTCATTACCAACAAAGGGTATATAACAAAGTATTGAGATGAACTTTTGTTATTGACCAAATACTTATTTTCCAGAATATTTTGCAAATAAATTCTTTAAAAATCAGACAATGTGATTTTCTGGATTTTTTTTTTCTCATTTTGTCTCTCATAGTTGAGGTTTATCTATGATGAAAATTACCGGCCTCTCTCAACTTTTTGAGTGGGAGAACTAGCACTATTGGTGGCTGACTAAATACTTTTTTGCCCCACTGTAGGGCAGCCTGTGGAGCTAGTTTACAGTTGCCATTTAATAACTGCTTCTTTTTCTATGTCTGCTTCTGTCTCCTTGAATCCCAGTTGGCCTAAAAAAAAGTGCTGCTCACACTGAGTTCTTCCTGTTAAAGGGTTTTTTTTCATCTCCACTGTCGCTACAAGCATGCTTAGTGTGAAGGATTGCTGAAGAGCCAATGAGTCAATGCAATCAGCTGGTTTTCCTTAGATAGAAAACTTTGAATCAATCTGACTGGATGATCTGGTGAACTGGAAAGTGACCTGAGATGACATGATGTGAATTGGAGCTATAGAAATAAACTGAATTGAAATGAATTAAATTGAAATTTTACCTGTTCAATAATGTATCTAAAAATGTTCACCTAATGATTATTAAGAACAAATGCATTGAACAATTAATTTATGTTTTTAAAGACTTTTGGTTCCTGGTATTTCTGAAAATCAGGAGCACATCTGATGAACTACAGACTCCTGAAATATAGATCTACTTTTCTTAGAATTCGTTTGTGTTGTTGGTTTTGGGAATACCTGTTTTCTTTTATTTGTTAAACTGCAAATTCAAACACATCAACCAGTCTGCATGTTAACCATTCAAGAAGATTTAAGTCCAACTCCAAGTCCTGACTCCGTGGAAAAGTCGCACCACCTTTTGTTTTGATAACTTTTCTGTCTGATCCACTGTGGCTCCGCCCCCCTGTACCGCTGCATCTTTAAACGCTCAACAAGCGACCTTTATTCAGCCTGCACAGGAAGTCTCAACGACTTCAAAATAAAAGATAAGTTTCAGTTTATTAAGCACTGCTCAATTTTGAGAAATTGAAATTTGAAATGGCTGGCCAAATGCAGTGACCAAGGCGTAGATTAGGCTGGGTGGCCAGGCTATCAGCAAATAATTTAAGTTGTATTGTTGTATTTCAAGCACACTTTTTATTTTACATCTCTTTTAAAACTAGCATTATTGATATATATATATATATATATATATATATATATATATATATATATATATATATATATATATATATATATATATATATATATATATATATATATATATATATATATATATATATATATATATATATATATATATAATATATTGCTGTCTGGCAAAAGTTATAAGTTATTACACTCCAAAAACCATCTAGAAATGAGTAAAAATGACTAAGTGTGTTTACTCTTAATTTGAGTAGGTAAATAAGATGATTTGGCAATGGAATTAGTATTTTTACTCCTAGAATAAGATTGATAGATAATTTCCACTTGAAATAAGACAATGCAATTGTTTCTTCTTATATTAAATGTAAATGATCTTGTCCCATTGGCAAAGCGTTTCACTTACATCCTCAATAGAACAAAAAATAAAAATAAACTTCTTTTAAGAAGAAATGACTTATTTAGATTTACATTTTTGCAGTGTATGACTGATACACCTCAACTAAAGGTCATGAAAACTGGAAACGTTGGCTTTAAAGCCTTATGAAACTCTCTTTGTTGTATGTCTGCCAGTGTGTCTATTAGACCTACTATCCTGCAACGCTTTAACTTATTGACCTGTTTTAATATTTTTTTTCATCCTTTTGAATTACTTTTTATTTGTATCAGTAAATGCGTTGTAGAAAAAAAATTTCTTCCTCATTGGTAACGAACTTTTATTTTGAAAGTCCCCAGCGGATGTGATGTCTGTAAACTCGCGTGACTTGGCGCAGTCTCGGATAGGATCTCATTCTGTTCAGGTTAGGGCTCCTGTTGGAGCACCGATAGGAACGCGACCGTCGCCGTGGCCCAAAACTCGCTGGAAAACATCACGGAATTGCCCCGCCGCACATCTGGAAAGGAAGACCGACGATTATTAACGTCCCCCGGAGCTTAGATAAGACCCGAACCGATGGATCTGGTCGCAGTGATTGAACCGGACCGAACCGCGCGCCTCTAACGTGGGTCCGTTCGGACTGGACCCGCTCACGGTCACAGGTTGCTAGCGGAGTTGAGGCTAACTGAGCTAGCCTGGTTAGCAGACAGGGGAAGGGGGGGCTGCTGGATTTAACCTGAAAAAGCTCGGTGTGGAGTGTGCTGGAGACCCCGTTCATGATGAGGTTTTCTCCGGCTGGTTTATCCAGTTGGCCGGCTGCTAGCATCGGCTGACTGCAGCCTAACGGCAGAGCTGTTCTCCTTCCTCCGGATTAAGCGTTTTTTTTGAAAGGTGAACTTTTTCTCCCCAAGAGAGCTCCAACCCAGCCTCCTCTACTATACTCTGTTGGAGACAGATACAGAAAACACCCTAAAAGGGTTTATCTTTGTTTTTCTTTACTGAAAGAGGTAAAATAAAAGTTTTGTTTGGAGGTTGAGGAGGATTTTTTTCCGTGGAAAAATGGATTCGGGTATAGAGAAGGAATGCAGCGCCTTGGGAGGGCTTTTCCAGCTCATCATGAACGACATGAAGGTAATTATATATTAACTGTTTCCCCTGCAGTTTCCCTTTCCCTTTATAACGCCTTTATCTCGGTCACATTACTGTATATAAGTAAAAAAAAATAAAAACATACATTTTTTGATTTGAAGGTTTGAAGTGGAGCTTTCTAAGGCTCTCCCCCAGAGTGTCATTGGCTGTGGGGCGCTCAAAACCATTTATTGTAATAATAATTAATTGAACTTAACCCCCAAACTGCTGGCTAGATGGAGCAGGGACCCCTAATTATATATATTTTATGAAACTGTGTTCTATCAAACTGGTCCTATAGTCACTCTATTACAGATGGAGTAATGTAACTAAAGTAATCCCTCCCTGGGATTATTAAAGTATTTCTGATTCCTGGTTGATGGGACAGGTGTTGTGAATGAAACGGTACCCAGCTTGAAAGAGCTCCTGTGTGTCGCTGAATGTGTGGATTGATGACTAAAAGACATCTTCTGCCTCCATTTATCTGTTTACTACAGTCTGTTGAATTCATGTTAATGTGGATTTAATTTATTTCAATTAGTGGAAAAATTGCAGGGGGAATATAAAAAAAAAGTCTAATCAAGCAAAATTTTCGCGACCCTCATGCAGTACCTCCGTGGACCCCTAGGGGTCACGGTTGAAGACCCCCGCTTTAAAGAACAGTTACCATTTTTGGTCGCTTGCACATCAAATCAATTAATCTGTTGATTATTTTCTTGATTTAGTAATCGGATAGCCAAAGGTTCCTTAAAGAAGAGGTTTTGTGAAATTAAACCGGGTGAAAATAAAAAGTTTCCTCTCGATGAGTTCTGGATAGAGCAGATTGCATTATCGTAAATGCAAAATGTTTATACAGAATTTTTTAAAATAATCTTTGTATAGTTCTTGCTCTAAGTAGGTTGCTCTGTCAGCTAAAGGCACGTTTTAGTCTCTATACTCCAATAAATGATTAATCGATTACTAAACTAGTTGATTGTTTCAATAATGGATTAAAAATTGTTTCAGCCCTAAGTACATCCCAAAAACAGGGCGTACAATTTCTAATATTTTTGGTAAAAGAGTACTATTCAATTCAATTCAGTTTATTTATATAGCGCCAAATTCACAACACATGTCATCTCAAGGCACTTTACAGTTCAACCAGATCATACAGTCAAATTGATACAAAGATTTCTATCTAAGGAAAACCAGTTGATTGCATTGACTCATTGACTCAAATACAATCCCCCACACTAAGCATGCTTGTAGCGACAGTGGAGAGGAAAAACTCCCTTTTAACAGGAAGAAACCTCCAGCAGAACCAGGCTCAGTGTGAGCGGCCATCTGCCGAGGCCGACTGGGGTTCAAGGAGACAGAAGCAGAGACACAAAAAGCAGCTGTAAAAGGCGGCCCCGTCCAGGAAACACACAGCCAGGCAGACGAGCTCCAAGGCAGCTCCCATGCCAGAGGACGAAGAGAGCACATCCACTCAGTCACAGTCAGAGAAACAGGACCACACTGGAAAACAGGCCGATCTCCAACATCTATAAACAAGGGTGTTGATAGAAGCAGCACAGCTGATGTTTCTTTCCAGGATGACGTCACAGCCAAACAGGAACTCTACGTACTCTTGTATGCATTGCTAGCTAAAAGCCTGCATTATGACCATGTTAACATGGCGACTGGTTCATGACTAAACCCTTTATAGGGCAAGTTAATGTTTTTGATCCCTTACAAATGGAGTCCCCCCTGTCCCTCAGTGAACTCTAGAAACACAAGATCGATATCCAGCCATTCAGCAAAGATCCTGCTACATGGCTGTACATCTTATTTTGGCATTTGACCAATTAGACGAGCCCTTCAATGATATATTACCTACTGGAAATGAAGTTGGAAAAAAGTAAAAAATTTAATTGAAAAGTTAAAAAGTTAATAAGCTTAGTTAACAATTATATTCAGGTTTATAAACAAAAAAATGTCAGTGTTAGTATCAGCATTAATGCCTCTAAGGTGATGATGGACAAAAAAAAGTGTTTCTTTCACTCTCAGAGGGTTTTTCATGAATTTCTTCTAGAAGCACTTTTGTTATTTTTCTGAATATATTCGGGCAGGTTGGCGTTTCTTGTTTTTGCATTTACATACATTTTTTGCCATCCAAATATACATGTTTTTTTAATGTTACAAAGGTAATAAGATCTTGTGCTGGGTTCCAATAACACTATTGGCTTGAAATTTTGAGTGCCCTATAAAGAGTTATGGGTCTTGCTAAGGGTCTAACCTAGAGGGAGGCTGTGGGAATGGGTTTCAAACTCACAACCTCAGGATTCCAAGCTCTATGCTCTAACCACTAGGCCACCATTCCCCACGATTGGTTCAATTTAAGTTGGTGTTTTTTTTCTTTTCTTTACTTTTTGTTGGCTTAAAGCGTTCAAATATTTAAAAGCCTTAGATGAAGATGCAAAAATAAGACTGTTGATGTTTTCCGGATGGATTATAGATGCTGTATCAGTCCTTGAAATATTAGAACTAGATGATTTTGTGAAATTCAGAGAAAATATAATCATCTGCATGATTGTTCAATGCTAGTTTAAGTTAAATAAATTAAACTTAATTCTGTTGAAATTCTTTTTTCCATTTGTTCTAAAAACAATTCAATTGAGTTTAATTATATAGCACCAATTCCCAACACATGTCATCTCAAGGCACTTTACAGATCATCCAGTCAGATTGATTCAAAGTTTTCTATCTAAGGAAAACTAGCTGATTGCATCGACTCATTGACTCGAAGGCAAACCCTCACAGTAAGCATGCTTGTAGCGACAGTGGAGAGGAAAAACTCCCTTTTTACAAGAAGAAACCTCCAGCAGAACAAAAGCAAAACTAAAACTCAACAGGGCTTGAGAAAACGTTTTATTCCTGTATCCTGATAAAATGCTTTTAGGCTATTAGGACCCCAGGGATTGAAAAATAATCCAGAGTTGTTTATTGTTTGTCTTAAAAACTGATTACCCTGCAGGGTTTATGTGTCACCCTGCATAAAACAGCTGATTCAGATGATGGAGCCCAGGAGCTGTTTTCAATCAGCCATCAGTTGAAATCAGGTGTGTTGGGGGGGTTCCATGATTCCCATCGCTGGTCTCCAGGACATTCTGCTGCTTCACATCTGACTAAATTAATCTGTAGTCAGCTATAGGCCGATGAATCGGTAATAATCGAGCAGAGCTGCGTTTAAACCATAAAGGTACGGGGCAACTGTCCACGGATTTTTTAAAAACAGGCTTTGTTAAACCTTAACTATTTGTAAAATTAAAGGATTCTTTTTCTATTCTTCAAAACAAATGTTGACAACTGTCCAACATTTTTTGAAAGTTTTTAAAACCTCTGATGAATCAGAGTGAGAAGACAAGTAGTTTGAAAATATCTGGTGTTTGTTTGTGTAATCAGACCGATGAAGGATCATGATGGACGTCCTAATCAAGTAGTAACATTCAATATCGGTCCAATATTTGACAAAAAAAAGCTAATATCATTAGTATTTTCGATACGCTGATGGGAACTCTCTGCTTCTGTTAAGTTTCTGTTCATCATTTGTTCATTTTACATGTTTTTATACCTATCATAGCTTTATTTTTATAGGCGAGTCGTTAAGAACAAGTTCTTATTTACAATGACAGCCTGACAACCACTTAGGAAGAGGGAAGTAGAGCTATAGTTAATACAAAGCATTAGTAATACATGTATGAAATACAATTCAAAACACAAGAGCTAAAGAGCAACCACCTTTTGTTGTTGGCTTTTGTTCCACGCATTAATAATATTTATCAAACCTTTTCTTACATTCTACAATATAAAATAGGTAAAAAAAGCTGGTATGATTTATTCTGATATTGTATTGTATTAATATCGGTATCGGCCGATTCTTAAAGCTGCACTATAAATATATGAGAAATGCAAAGTTGTATCAGGACTGAGGGTCTAAATTATAATCACTTTTTATCGATGCATTGATACAAAACGACAGACGATACGACAGCAGCCGACATTACGATGCATCAACCCGCTACAGTATCGATTCATGTGATGTGATTTTTCACCTGGTTTAATTTAGTGAAAAATCTTCTTTAAATAACATTTGGCTATCTGATTCTTAATTCAAAAAACAATCGACAGATTAATCCATTTGGAAAATAATCCTTTGATTTGGACCGGGTAATGGCTGAGCTGGGGTCCTTCAGAGGGGGGGCCAGGCTGGACTAACATGGTCAGCAAAGCTATATAGATACTAAAACTTCATAACCACATCAATACTGGGGGTGTAAATTACACCCATCATGGCGATTCGATTCGGTATCGATTTCCTGACCCAACAATTCCATTGTTTTTCGATACTGAAGAATACACCACGATATGATTCAATTAATTGGTTAAATTTTTTTTTTGCCTTACAGGCTAGAGAATGTTTTCAATTTGAAATAAATCAATGAAAGCTCTAAATATCGTTATGCATTTTATTTGAGAAACAACAGCAAATAACAGAAGTAGCAAAGTTGTGCCCCACCTAGGCCTATGGAAACCTCTTTCACTGAAAAATAATAATGCCTGTGTTATAGATTATGAAAGGCCTTGCATCAAAACATACTGCAAGCAGAAGAGAGAGGGTAGTGACTGAAGGAAGTGAGGTAATAGGGCAAAATGGGTTTAGCGCCACCGCAGCACGGGAGGTAGAATTACGTCCAGGAGCAAATGGATAAAAATAGACCGGAGGAAGAAAAACATGATTCGATACTGGCGTGTCGATGCATCGGATCGTCAGCTGTTGGATCGATGCATCGATACAAAACGATTATTATTTACACCCTAATCAATACCCAGGCATATAATTGACACTCAACACCATGGGGATAAAAATGACTGATAATTAAACAGATAAATAAAGAAATAACATGGAAAGCTCTCCTTTTTCACTCATATCGTGGATCAGGTTTTCTCTACAAAATCGCAGATGCAAGTTAAATAAATGTGGA